CCCATACAAAATCCGCAACAAGGAGACAGGCAAGGTTCTTACCCCAGTCCTCAACAACTTGGGACACTTGAACCTTAACCTTCGGAATCGCGGTTCAATCTCCATGGGCAAGCTTGTCGCAATTCAATGGGTTCCAAATCCAGCAAGAAGACGAAGGTCAGACACATTGACGGTGACAAGCTCAACAACCGTAAGGAGAACCTCGAGTGGTTCTAAGAGTAAAAAAATTTTATTTTAGGGGGAAACCCCGAGTAAATTTAGGTGTTTATTTAGTTAAGTAGCTTAAATTAATGAGAATTTGGACAAGTAGTTCCTGACCCTGAATTGGACTCTTTCGTCATCCCAGTTGCGTAGGAGGTCGTCCCAGAGGAGTTGGTAGAATTGCCAATCCAAGGACGATTTGTCCTCCCAGGCATTGAGGATGTACTGCTCGTAGAGTTTCATGACCTCTGCCTTGCACCAGACACCCTCTCCCTTGGAACGTAAGGCTTCTTCGAAGTGCTCGAATGCGATTGGCTGCGTGACCATCTGAAATGACACTTTTTGTCCGTTTGGTCAATGTTTGTGTCTCGTGCCATAGTCGACGAAAATACAAACAAACAGGTTATATATGAGTTTGAGACCAAGAATGGTGTAACTCGACCTGTCCGATTCAAATTCGAATAAAAATTTTTTATTTCATGCAATGTTTAACTATTTCACCATCTTCTTTAACCCAGTACTTCCTTTTCGATATTACATGAACTTCGGTGAAAATTTTGTCCAATTTGAATTGACCCATCTTTTCACCGACCATGCCCATTTCAATGAGTTTGTTATAGCCTTCTTCGTTCGTCATGAGTGCGTCAATGTTCTCATAGTAAACCTTCACTTTGGATTTGACTTCGGAGAAGAATTTGTTGTAGTTGTCAAGGACTGCCTTTGCGAACTGAGGGTAAGACCAATGTTCGACAATAGGTTTTAATGTGGTTACTAAGCCACTTTGACCTTGAGTGAATTCGTACTTCAAAACAAAAGGAGAAAACCTTTCAACAAAGTTGTCGACCTTCTCATAATGTTTACTCTTCATCTCTTGAGGTTTCTTAATGGAATATCCCCATGTCGAATTCATAAGCAATTTGAGTGTCATTGCAAGTTTGGGGTTTGAAGCTTTCCTAATATCATACAGTTGTTGTATGACTTTTCCAACTGTATAGTTCCTTCCTGGGAACTCACCATCTTCGTTTGGAATTCCAGTGGAATATATTGGACAAACCTCATGTATGCAGCGTTAAGGTCGACATAGTATATCTTTTCATCTGAGTCGAACTTGTCGCAACCAATGGTCCAGTTTGTGGAAATTCAAGTGAGTCTCTTATCTTCTGAGAAACTTCTCCTGTTATCTCATAAACATCGTCGAAGCAACCTGTTTCATATAAAACCTTCTGACCTAACTCAGATGCTCTCCAATACAATTTGACGTCAATTGGATGTCTCAATGGAAGTTTGTTTATAGCATCTTGAAGTTCTTGCAACCTCATTGGAAGTTCTTCTGGTTCAGGTTGGTATCCGAACAATCCAACTCCTTTTGGAATTGTGTACTTCTTTTGTACTAGAACTTTGTCTGGAACAACTTTTGGTCTTGCTAACAATGAAAAGTTTGTTTCGTCTTTTGGTACAAAAGTTTCTGTCAGCTTGTCATCTGGAATTGGTTCCAACAAACCTTTCTCGAAAAGAATGTTTACAGCTCTGACAATGTTGCACTTGCCTTTTCCGAACAATGGGTTTGTAAGACTTTCGTTCAACATGAAGTGGTTGTGGACAATTACAATCTTCAACCATGGTAATTTGTCAACAACATAGTCGTCATGTGAAGAACCTTTAGCTGTAGGTATGTTGACTCGGATATTGACATTTGCCAACGGTGCAATTTTTGCCAATTGACCTCTGAGAATGTACCTTGTCTTCACACATGACTCAAGATACTTCATCTTCTCATCTGTAACAAGACCAGAGTTCCTGAGACATGTAAGAATACAAGGTTCATTGACAATTGTTTCAATTGAATTGTAAATTCCATACCTTGTCAAGTCAATGTCAGACTTATTTATGAACGGGAAGTATCCAGCATGTTGTCTGACTGCTTGAGGGTTAGGTTGGTACCATTCGAACTTGACACTTGCAATTCCTTCAATTGCATTCAAAATATCTGAGTCGGAGTCAACCATTTGTTCTCTCTTTGTAGTCTTGAAAGCGTCAAGAAGTTTGCAGCTGTTGTGACATTGCCATGTGCATAGTAAATGTGACCATCCAAATCTGTTATGGTCAATCTGAGATTGTATCCTTTCTTATTTCCGTCTTGTATGCAGCAAGTACACCCATGAAGCCTTCTTTGTTCTTTCCTTCGTCAAAGTTTACTGTAAAGGTTCGACCAGATGTAATTTGACTTCGAACTTCACGATACTTTTCATATGCATATCTTGTTCTTTCCATGGGAGCATGTGCGTCTTCACCTTTTCCTTTTTTCCTTCTCAAAGGATGCAATTGTTCGTCATGTTTCCAGTAGAATCTGGCAAAGCCGTCGTGTCCTTCAACTTGAGGTTCACTAACATCGAAAGGCATGTCCATAAGACGTTCTTCTTCTAACCTCTCTAGTCTGTTTGGATAATTTGCGCGTGCTGTTTCTAAGTCCATTTCGTAGCGAAGACCAGACAATTTGTCATAGACTTTTATGGGTCTTCCCTTCCTATATTTAAAATTCTTCGAAACTCTCCAACCATATCTTTGTAACTCTGCTTTTATTCTAGCAGACTTTCTATCCATTCTATATGGGGGCATTTTTATAAAAATAAAAAAATGTTTTTTTTTCTTTACTTTACATAACCGCCTGCTGCCATAAGTCTTTGACGCCAACCCATACCAGCTAATGAAGGTTGGCTTGGTTTAGTTTGGAAACTAACCTTTGGTTTTGGTTTTTCTTCAGTTTGTGGCTTCCCTTCTTCTATTGGTTTTTCGTCACTTTTCGGTTCCTCTGACTTTACCTCACTTGCAGGTATGGTTGTGTCGTCAACATCTTCATAAATATCATATGCCATTTGTTTTTGTTTTCCTTTCAACTTTTTGTGTTTGTTGTAAAGTTTAGAATATTTCGACTCTAAGTCAATGAGATGTTCTATAATGAACTGTTGGTCGGTGAAGTAAACTTTTCCATCTGTTGTCTCGAAAGCTCCTTCAGACTTCAATATTTTATTTGTGAGAGTCTGTTTTCTTTTTTGAGATACTAGCCGTTCATTTCTATGAAAAGTGACTTTATAGTTAGGGTTTGTATTTCCAGACTGGCACTTTCTATTATTGAATTTTTTCTCTTCATCTGTAAGTTCTTTGACAGGTTTTGACAATGGTTCTGAACTTTTGTTTGTGGTGTCAAATCTACGCGTTTCAACTTCTTCGGTCATTTCATCTCAGTAAAAAATTTTAGTTTGGTTTGTTTTCAACTGGTTGTTTAGGTTTTTTAAGTCGGTCTAAAACTTTCCTGAGGTATAGGAAGAACTTGACAAACACGTGGTTGTGTAACTGCTGGAAGTCGACAAATCCATCTTGAACCCATTTGTCTCAATGCTGTATTGTTCATTTCATCTCAGTAAAAAAATTTACATTCCCCACGTTTGAGGTGGTTGAGGTTGGTTGTTGTTTACCCACTGTGTGTGCATGGTTAATATCCTCTGTTAAAGAATCTTTCACCTTGGTCCATATAGTGCCCTGCTTGTTATAGTAGTCATTTGCTTTGTTATAGTAGTTTCCTGCTTGTCTTCCTACATTGTCATCCATCCTTGAACTTTTCCTCTTGTTTCAGGATTTGGAATAAGATTTGCTGCATCTCGTGCTACCTCCCAACCTTTCTGTACAGTTTGTATAATAGGCTGTGCTTTCTCTTTCAGTATACCTAATGTACTCAAAATCTTCCTTCCAATTCCAAATGCACCTCTGGCTAGTGTTCCACTGCGGGCAAAAAATCTGGATGCAACTCCTGCTAATGCGCCAAATAAACCCATTTCTTATGGGTTAAAAAATGACGAATCCAAACAAGGACCCTATGTTTCTAAGGCAACAAAGAAAGCACTCATGATAAAAATCTTTAGTTCAACACCAAATGCTTGGTTTATGGATATCTTGGAAAACATTCCGAGGTATAGAGAAGATGGACCACCATACTGGCTAATATTTGTGGTCAAAACACAAGATACTGTGAAGCCATACCATTACAGTCCAAAAATATTTTAGATGTGAAAACTGCTTTGACGATATTCGTTGACAAATACCATCCAACAAAACTGACATCTGACTATGAAAGTTCTTTCAAATCAGATGATATTAAAAACTATCTGCGTTCAAAAAATGTAAACCAATATTTCATTGTCGACCAAAACCATTCTGCTCTTGTGTCATTGACAGTTGTATAAAAATCTTAAGAGACTTAAACCAACCACAAGGTGGTGAAGCAAATGAAATGTCATATGACGACAAATATAGACATTTCTCCATGGCAAAGATGAGACAAGTTTTAAATATTTACAATAGCCGTAAACAAAAAGGTTTGGGAAACCACTCCCCGAAGAAATGAAAAACAACCCTGACTTAGAGAAAGACTATATATTTAATAGTTTAGTCAAAAGAGACAAACAAGAAAGAATGCCAGGCTTCAAACTTAAGAAAGGTGACAAAGTAAAAATAGAAATACCTAAACGCGACCCATATGAAAATACTATTGACTATGACAACAATGGGAACTCGACAGGTACTCACATTCGTGTTCGTAAAAATAGAAGAAAGTATACAAGAGAATATTATGAAGTTTTAGGCAAACATGGCAAAATGTACAGACTGCAAGCAGAAGATAAAACGACTATTGTCAGACCTCGTTTCAAACTTGTCAAAGTTCAAGGTGGTATACTTTCAAAGACAGTTCCTAACAAATATAAGACAACTCCTGACGAATATGCTAAAGAAGTTGAAAATGACGACTAAGCATTTCTATACCATGCACAAACTGTCATGTAAGGTGGCATGTATTTTTTACCTAGTCCTGTAGATGTTGTTGTAAAAGTATGTTGGTGGTTTCCTCCTGGTTCAGTTTGTCGAAAAGTCTTTTTTGCTGAATGGTTATAATCTGGAGATAAAACGTCATAGCCAGCTTCATACTCTGAGTTGTATAATGGGTGGTCTCTTAATGAGTGGCTATGGTCGCCAGAAAAGTTTGTTGTACCAGAATGACTATGTGGTGGCAAGTTGTCGACAGATATCGTTTTACTTCCACCTGTTTTCTTTGGAGTGTGTGCACAATACAAAAAACTTTCGAGTATTTGAGTCCAAGTTCCAAAACCAAGTACTACTTCTGGTCTGGTAGAGTTCATTGACGTATAAATAGAGCCTATAGGATATAATGTTTGAAGTATTTCTGTCTTTAATGTTTGAAGCTCTGTTTTGTCTGCTTTCTTGTCATATAAATCTTGAGCAGTGAATTTAATATTATGTTCATCCTTCATGACATAAACATCTTTACATCTAATGTTTCTCATCGTCGTTATGTCGTCATCCGATGTTAAACCTTGTGGAAAGTTAGGAGGTTTACAATATAATGCATCCCCACCAGTTTCTTCAACCGTTCCTTCAATACTTTCTATAGCAACAGTTGTAAAACTTGTATGTGTATGGTTCTTGTCAGCTTTGTCATCTAACTTTTCTTGTAAGTTTGCAATATTTGCAATGGTATGTGTATGTCCAACGTCACTTTTCCTGTTTAAGGTTTCTTGTAAGTTTGTAATATTTGCAATGGTATGTGTATGGTTCTTGTCGGCTTTAAGGTCTAAACATCCTGAAACCCACCCTGTATTGGCTTTACCTTCTAAAATCTTCGATGTCCGTTCATGGTACCATTCAACCATTTCTTTAATTTTTTCATCTTTTTCATCCACATATTCCTTATCTGCCTTCTTCACTAACCCACTAGCCAGATATGCTAACTCATCGTCAACATATGTTTTATCTGCTTTCTTTTCAACATCCTCTTTCGTTGCATAAGCTTTGTTAGCTCTTTCTTCTTCTTTTGCTATTGCATCGTCTACATACTCTTTGTCAATCTGCTTTCAAAAGAAGTTCATCTATAGGTTTCTCGTTTAAAGTTCGTTTTGTTGGATTTATACAAACAGTATGGTTCTTATTGTCTTGAAACAGAAACTCATCTGTCATTGGGTTTAATGTCAGTTTTAGGTTTCCTTCTTTCAATGACTCAGATATCTTAGAATATTTGAAAAGTTTTGTTGTGTTCTTATTTAGAGCTTGCATAATGAGTGTCGGTTGTGTGTATTTCTCTCATAGACGCTGTTTCATTTGACATTTTTATTCTAGATAAAATATGCTTCCAATAGAAAAAGAAAATTCAAGAGTTGCTACAACTAAACCATTAGATGAACTTTTACTAATGTCGGTCAAAAGTTTGAGACAGAGACCGTAAAGCATGAAGGCTATCGTTTTGACTACCCATTAAGATGGCTCAGAGACCCATCTGTCACAAAAGCTATTGGCTTTCGTAGAATGAAGTTTGTGTCTGTAGAAGATAAAATTTTCCATTTATTGTAAGGTTTCATATAGATTATATATCTGAAGGGAAACGAAAAATGTGGGAAGAAATTGAGCTAATACAAGTTGACCTTTCATCTCTCTCTACAGACTGCGTTAAAAATATAGAAGATAAAAAATAATTCATGTTATGCAAAATATGGATGAATATGCAAATACCGAAGCACACTTTATTGAGAATTGTATATGACAAACAAAATTCACAAGTTCATTTCAAATCTACGAAGACAATCCAAAGAAAAGACGAACAAATATATACAGAATTCACTGCAATGTCATGGTATTATTTGCAAAGAATGTTAAATCAGAAAGTCGAACTTCCTTTAGCAAATATTTACAGTCGATATGCAAGAGATGAACCATATTATTTATTTAAAGATGTTTCGACCCCAGCTGCTATTATTGTCATGCTTCATTTTCTGGCGCCCAAAACTCTTTCTTATGCTTGGCAAATGACTTTTACGAAAAACCTACAAAGTTATACGAACCACCAAGTGGAAGTATTTCAGACTTTCAAGTATGGTTTACTACAGATGGAAGAAAAAGAATAATTCCATTATACCATGCTTTTACTTAAACTTAGTTTCATATACAACTACTATCGAACGGTTAAAAATATAATTTTTTAATTACGGTTGAGGTTGGATTTGGTTGCCAACTAGACTGTGGTGCAGTTCAGGCTGTGTATAACAGAGCTTGTTCTTCTGGTTCAGGTCTTTAGGTATAATACCAACAACTGACCTACTCTTTTACCAATATTTTGACACCTTCCAAATTCCTCTCCTACGGTTTTTTATTCCATTCCATATACCTCTTCCAACATTTCGAAAGAAGTTTCCTATCTTACTGAAGAAACCCATTTTACTATATGTAAAATCTAATGTCCACCTAGTCTCTTAACGTTTCCTTCTGAGTTCCATAGCATTCTTTTAACTGGAGCTCATACATTCTATTTCTCCTCTGTAGAAAACATACTCTGGGTCAACTCCTGTGTTCGCGTCATCTGCATAGAGTTGTTTATATCCCACTTCGGGGTTTGTATAAAACTCTTTCCATCTCATATTTGCATACCATGGTGGCAAACCTAACGCAGCGTCATTTGACATGGCAGTTTGCATTTGTACATCTGTTGGCACTTGACCATAGTTTGCCATTGCAGTTTGTATTCTAACTTCATTTGGAATATTCTCTGGGTTTGGTTGTCCAGGTTGCTGTGCATTCGCTAAGTTCTGTGCGTCCATTTAATATTAGATAAAAATATCTCTTACGAGTACATATGCTGAACATTTGCAGACATTGGTTCATCTTCATATTCTCTGTACTTTCTGCCACGTCAAATAAATAAATGACACAATGGAAAAAACCTAAAACAAGTAGTCCTATTTCAAACCACATTACTTACTAGTAAAATTTCTTTGTTATGACACTTTCTCCAGTTTATAGGACCTCTCTCATATTCTATCTTATCGTATCTAAACTCATAGTCATGTATGTCCTCTAACCATCTCATGACACTTTCCAAACCACTTTTATCGGATGTAAAGTAAAAGCATGGATGGTTATGTATAACGTCTAAAGTTTCTAAAGAGTCTCTCAAAGTCCAGTCTACTTGGTATTGAAAATCCCATGTGTTATAGAACGGCGGGTCCACTATAAAGAAAACATTTTCCTTGTCTTTGTATTTTTCATACAACTCTGTCCAACGACATCTCACAAACTCTATACCCTCAATATATTTTTCTATGTCCTCTTTGAAAACCTTTGTATAGTTAAGATATAAAACTTTTGACATAAGTGTTTCAATGTCATGAACTCTTATAGAACCACTATATAATAGTCTAGCAGATATACTATCCCAGTCAATATATTCTGCTTTTTTCAAAACCTCTCTCACAATATTTTTCTTATCTAATGGTATACGTTCCATCTTACCTATAGGTATCTTTTCTTTCAACTCACTCAATATTTTGTTTGTGTCTGGTATATGTTTGAGACGGTTCATATAGTTGTCGAAGTCATTGCATATAATCTTTGAGTCAGGAAATACAGTATGGCACAAATGAGATATATAGAAACTTCCACCGAACAAATCTACAAATGTTAGACCATTCGGTAGTTTCTTAAGTTCTCTCAATAGAATATCTTTACATCTACTCTTATTTCCAAAGAAGGGTAACGGTGGTTTTGTAAAATTCATTTTATATATATATAATAAAAATGTTTTTACCTGAAAAGTGACAGAAAAGTGACAAAACATGAAAACATATATATTTTGTGAAAAGCTCCTGGAAGACCCGTATATAAGAACTTCATTTATACTAAACATCTTCAGGGGCTAGAGGGGCGCAGCCCTGGAAGCCCCACTACCCTTTTTTTTTTTTTTTTTTTTTTTTTTTTTTTTTTATTTTTAATATAAATAAAAAACTTTTTTATACAAAAAATTACAATCAATCGATAAATATTATAAAACATTTATTCCAAAAAGATTAAGTAATAGGTGGGATCCTGCATATAATATAATTTTATGTCATAAAGTTTACAAATTTTAGATGGACCACAGTGAGAATGTGAGTGGTTAATTTAAAGGTGGTCTGATAAAGATCTCGAAGCTTACTCAACACAGCATGAAGCAGTTTCTAATACACAATCTTACTAGTGGTGTTTCGGTCGCCAGCGCTCTCATAGGGGTGCTGATTTCAAAAACCACTACTTCAAATTATTCAACAATACTCAATGCAGCATGAAGCAGCTACTACTGCTGTATCTTACTGGTAGTGTTTTGGTCGTTGGCTCTTGCACAGTCTCTCAGATTTTCAAAATTTTTTTCAACACTATCTTGTTTCGCTCTCAGAAAGCTATCCTACAAAGACATCGAAGCTTACTCAACACAGCATGAAGCAGTTTCTAATACACAATCTTACTAGTGGTGTTTCGGTCGCCAGCGCTCTCATAGGGGTGCTGATTTCAAAAACCACTACTTCAAATTATTCAACAATACTCAATGCAGCATGAAGCAGCTACTACTGCTGTATCTTACTGGTAGTGTTTTGGTCGTTGGCTCTTGCACAGTCTCTCAGATTTTCAAAATTTTTTTCAACACTATCTTGTTTCGCTCTCAGAAAGCTATCCTACAAAGACATCGAAGCTTACTCAACACAGCATGAAGCAGTTTCTAATACACAATCTTACTAGTGGTGTTTCGGTCGCCAGCGCTCTCATAGGGGTGCTGATTTCAAAAACCACTACTTCAAATTATTCAACAATACTCAATGCAGCATGAAGCAGCTACTACTGCTGTATCTTACTGGTAGTGTTTTGGTCGTTGGCTCTTGCACAGTCTCTCAGATTTTCAAAATTTTTTTCAACACTATCTTGTTTCGCTCTCAGAAAGCTATCCTACAAAGACATCGAAGCTTACTCAACACAGCATGAAGCAGTTTCTAATACACAATCTTACTAGTGGTGTTTCGGTCGCCAGCGCTCTCATAGGGGTGCTGATTTCAAAAACCACTACTTCAAATTATTCAACAATACTCAATGCAGCATGAAGCAGTTTCCAATTCAACAATACTCAACATAGCATGAAGCAGTTTCTAATAAATATATACATATATAAATATATACATATATAAATATATACATATATAAATATATACATATATAAATATATACATATATAAATATACATATATAAATATATACATATATAAATATATACATATATAAATATATACATATATAAATATATACATATATAAATATATACATATATAAATATACATATATATATATAAATATACATATATATATATATATAAATATACATATATATATATAAATATACATATATATATAAATATATAAATATATAAATAACAAAATACAATCAAAAAATAGTGTTTGGAAATTTAAGGTTAAGTGTCACTTTTTCGTAAATTCTACCACACTCCTTCAGGGTTTGTATAAAACTCTTTCCATCTCATATTTGCATACCATGGTGGCAAACCTAACGCAGCGTCATTTGACATGGCAGTTTGCATTTGTACATCTGTTGGCACTTGACCATAGTTTGCCATTGCAGTTTGTATTCTAACTTCATTTGGAATATTCTCTGGGTTTGGTTGTCCAGGTTGCTGTGCATTCGCTAAGTTCTGTGCGTCCATTTAATATTAGATAAAAATATCTCTTACGAGTACATATACTGAACATTTGCAGGCATTGGTTCATCTTCATATTCTCTGTACTTTTCTGCCACGTCAAATAAATAAATGACACAATGGAAAAAACCTAAAACTAACAATCCGATTTCAAACCACATTTACTTACTAATAAAATTTCTTTGTTATGACACTTTCTCCGGTTTATAGGACCTCTCTCATATTCTATCTTGTCATATCTAAACTCATAGTCATGTATGTCCTCTAACCATCTCATAACGGTTTCCAAACCACTTTTATCGGATGTAAAGTAAAAGCATGGATGGTTATGTAAAACGTCTAAAGTTTCTAAAGAGTCTCTCAAAGTCCAGTCTACTTGGTATTGAAAATCCCATGTGTTATAGAACGGCGGGTCCACTATAAAGAAAACATTTTCCTTGTCTTTATATTTTTCATACAAATCTGTCCAATGACATCTCACAAACTCTATACCCTCAATATATTTTTCTATGTCCTCTTTGAAAACATTTGTATAGTTAAGATATAAAACTTTTGACATAAGTGTTTCAATGTCATGAACTCTTATAGAACCACTATATAATAGTCTAGCAGATATACTATCCCAGTCTATATATTCTGCTTTTTTCAAAACCTCTCTCACAATATTTTTGTTATCTAATGGTATACGTTCCATCTTACCTATAGGTATCTTTTCTTTTAACTCTTTCAATATATTGTTTGTGTCTGGAATATGTTTGAGACGGTCCATATAGTTGTCGAAGTCATTGCATATAATCTTTGAGTCTGGGAATATTATATGACACAAATGGGATATATAGAAACTTCCACCGAACAAATCTACAAATGTTAGACCATACGGTAGTTTCTTAAGTTCTCTCAATATAATATCTTTACATCTACTCTTATTTCCAAAGAACGGTAACGGTGGTTTTGTAAAATTCATTTATATATAATAATAAAAATGTTTTTTCCTGAAAAGTGACAGAAAAGTGACAAAACATTTACGATGAAATCATGACAAATTCATGAGGTGAGAAAAGAGGTGAGAAAACAGGTGAGATCTCACCTCTTCACCTAAACATTATTTTTGTCTGATTTTACGAAGAAGTTTTGACAAAACATTTACGAAGAAGTCTTGACAAAACATGAAAACATATATAATTTGTGAAAAGCGACACATTATATAATGTTTTCGACCCAGAAGAAGGCTTCTTCCCAGAAGCAAGGAGGAAGAAGAAGAGTCCTCCGAATATCAACTTCATTTATATTAAACATCATCAGGGCTAGAAGGCACGAAGTGCCTGGAAGCCCCACTACCTTTTTTTTTTTTTTTTTTTTTTTTAATATAGATATTAAAGAGACTTTTTATATAATATTCATAAAGATTTTCCAAAAATATGATACCGCAAAATTAAAAAAGTGACGTCTTGAGTGGAGTCAAAGGTCGAAATTGCTAGCTAAATGTTTTTTTAGCGAAATTGCGTATTGTACGTTTTTTTCGCAAAACGAAACCCTTAGTAAAAATCAGCATTCTAGGAAAAGGTGAGCATTTTTTGAATAAAATTGATTTTGTAATCGATTTTTCATTCAAAAAATGGCACGTTTTCATATTTTTTTTCCAAATAAAACAGAGATAATTTCACTTCTTTAAACTTACTTATTTCTTAAGAGAATTGATAAAATTACTTTCTCGTTTTTTTCTGCAGATTTGGAGAACGCAATATCAGGTTAAATAACCATAAAACTTCAGTCATTCGATCCCACACTTGAATGAAATCATATTTTAACAGGATATTGTTCAGTTCTAGTGCAATACTGATTATGAGTGTTAATTTTCTTAATTTATTTTATTAATCAGCCCTAAATTTACATTATATACAATGTTTTCAGTGCGTTATTCCAACATTTTACATAGAAATCGTTCTGCTTAGAGCTTTTGTAACAATATCAAGTCTCATCATTTGGATAGTATTTCCTTTATCTTCAAAATAATTTTAATCGAGTCAAAATTTGGTTTAAATATATGCTTGAGGCTTAATCTATACTTAAAATCATACATGAAAAACGGAACTTTCATTTAAAATGCAAGAGATACTTGTCAATGACAAATTTGAATACGATCAAGAAACATCAGAAATACCAACGTTCTTTTTTACATTATCTGTTTAAAAAACAATTAATTTGTATCCGTCTATATATTGTAGAGATTTGTTCATTCTAAATCTTTGGTTAAAAGTGTCACTTTTCGTAAAATCTTACTTTTTGAAATATATCATTAATCTATACCTAGAAGTAACATATTTACATTTGGTACGATATTACATTAATTTTACAGGGAAAAAACAACGATAATTGAGAGAGTATGATAGTTTTTGAGGTTATTTTTTTGTTAAATCATTACATATAGTGAAAATTACTTCATTTTTGAAAAACGTAAACGAGATTATTTGATTAATATTTTCGCTAGATAATAACTAATAGTTAGTGATTTTGATATTAGTTCAAGTTGATAGTTATCATATTCTCAATTATCGGCGGTTTTCTCAGAAAAATTGATTAAACAATCAAAAATGTCATTCAAATATCGGTTAGAAAAAATTATTTTTTAATAATGTCCCATTACAACTCTGATCATAACTCCGATTACAGCGATTGTTCCGAAAAATATTCAAGGATTCGAAGATATAAGTTCACCGAAGAAGAGGATCAACGCCTGAGCCAACTTGTTTCTATTTATGGTGTTAAATCATGGGGAACAATCGCATCGATGATGCAAGGAAGGTCAAGTAGACAATGCAGAGATAGATGGAATCATTATTTATCTCCATTCGCCAACAATGAAGAATGGAATAGTGAAGAAGACCTTATCATTATCGAACAATTAAAGCTTGTTGGAAAGCAATGGACATACATATCATCTCTCCTAGCTGGTAGAACTAGTATTGCTGTAAGGAATCGAGCCTGCAAGCTTTCACGTAAAAAGGATGCAGATCCTCTAATTAAAAATCTTCTTAAGGATGAGTACAAAAAGAAGAACCATAAGCAGGAAGATGTTGATCGTATAGAATCCCCAACTAAGCCAAAACTAGAAGAGAATTCGAGAATCATCCTTCCACCATGCGATGATCTTCTCAAAATCGCAAATGTTAGCATGCCACAGCCATTCACCTTCGATCGCAATGGCTTTTCTTTTCCGATTTGCTGCGCAGTATAATTTTGTACGATTACCATTTGTTTCTTTTTGACTTATTAGTGGGTGATATTTAGCTTATCTACTACTTGTATGCCAAAATTAGTTGTTATTTTTAAATAGATCTATCTTATTATACTTTTTTTTAATAACACAATTAAAACTCAATATATAGCCATAATGAGAAAAGAACATGATTTAAAGACTAAAGTACAATTTAGTTAATAATCAACTGGTCGGAGTTGCAACATACGAATCTGAGAAAAGTTTGACATTTGCACTATTGTCGCTGGAAAATCTAATATTTGGTAAGAATTTCAGTATTCAAGAATATCCTAGAAGAGTTTTCAATAATGCCTCCCAAAAGATTCGGAAATTTGGCAAATATTTCTAAAATTGGTTTCTCTGCAAAACAATATTATTTAGCTTAATTTCCTTCTTGAATTTCATTAATTTTTATAAACTCTTAATTTTCAAATAGAAAAACAGAAATTCAAGCTTTTTAGGCATAACCATGTTTTACACATTGAACATAGTGCCTTCCGATATATTTTATATTAAATTATATAAACTCCGATCATTCGAATTGATTTTCTCACTCATTTAAACATTGATTAACGCTTGAAACAACATAATTCCTATTATTTAAATATTTTGCAAAGTTATTCCTATAAAAATTGGAGATACAATTTATTTTGTCAAGTTATTAAACAATCATAGCAATTAATGAGCAAAGAGAGCATCATGAGATCTTCTCTGAGCGTCAAGATCAATATTTCTTTTTTGGTTTGCATCTTGAATCCATTTAACAAGCTCATCTTTGGATCCGCTTCCATTTGTGATCCATTCATGAGCGTTAAGCTCTTCGAAAGTAGCACGATCATCTTGCTCCATAACGAGACACTTTTCAATAAAATCTAAGAGTAATGGAGAATAATTTGGACCCAAATCAACAATAATATCATTTTGGGTCTCGAAATTCAAATCCCAGAAGTGAGTCTTGTTTTCTCCGAATGGATATCTACCAATGCATGATTGATACAAAATTAATCCAAGGCTCCAAACGTCGCTTTTAAGACCATAAGACTGGCCTCTTATACGTTCTGGAGACATGTAGCAGGTAGTTCCAATAACTGACTGTGCAAAATCGCCAGTATCACGGAGCTGACGTGCAAGTCCAAAATCTGCAATTTGAATACGACCGTCGAGAGAAAGCATGACATTAGATGGCTTTATGTCTCGATGTATAATATGATTCTTGCAGCAAAAGCGCAAACCAGCAATCATTTGAACAGTTATTTCATGTAAAGCCGGTTCTGGGATAATTGGCGAGTATTTTAAGTAATCTCCAAGCGATGCACCGTTAACAAGATCCATGAGTATGTGAATGGATCCTTTTTGTGCAAATGCTGAGAAGAGATGAACAACATTTGGATGACGTAAAATACGAAGCGAATGAATTTCATCAACAGTCTTTTGTAATTGAGATTTATCTTGATATTTGATACTTTTGACAGCAAACTCTTTTCCTGAAGGAATGTGAGTACATCTATAAACTGTTCCTTGAACACCATGTCCTAATTGTTCATGGAATTTAAGATCAGCAAGTGTAACAACTGGATATTCTTGAGAGAATAAGATTGTACCGTCTGATCTGAGTTTAAGTTCTCCATAATCAGCGGATTCACGGATGATTTCTGCCTCAAAATTTTCTGATTCAAAGGAGCTAGTGCCTTTATAATATCCTGGACTGTCGTTGTCTAATTTTGGAACCACAAAGCCGGATTTTTTCCTCCTCTCAGAAAACGACATTATGAAAAGTGCGCCAATATCTTATTTTGATATTTGGTGAATAACCTTAGATAAAAATCGAATTTGCTCCTGATAAGCATATAGCTGTGCCAACCTTCAGTCGATATTTTGATTATCCAGTTTTCTGTTGTTGAAAACAATAGATTGAATTCTTTGTTTTGATTTGGTCTTGTAAGGCTATACTTGAGCACCAATAGTTCTATTCATTCACAGTCCTACATTTATGTTTGTTATCCTATAAAACAATTTTATTGTTCTAATTTTAACTAAATTAGCTGAAATATTTGGTAATCCCAGTTTCGCTACTTAAGTATCGTTTCATTACTAGTATCTAGCACTCATATATAAACTATTTAGCATAATATACAAACAAAAAAATAATATTATAATTTTGCATCATGTTGTAACAAAATTGAACGCATAGCATCTGATTTCGCAATGCTAAGTGGAGTTTTCCCATCTGCGTTCACTATATTGACATTAATATTTGGAAGTGAGCAAAGGTACTCAACAATATCCAAATATCCGTCTCTCGTAGCATAGTATAAAGGAGAGCCTTTTGTACAATTAACTGCATTGACATCTATGAAATTTGAGAAATATTTCACAGCTTTTAGATTATTTCTTATTGCAAACCAAATAAGAACAGAATTTCCAAACGAACATCTTGAATTTACATCGAAGCCAAGCAAATGAAGCTTCTTACATAATTTGAAATTGTTTTGCTTCGATGCATTAAGAAATGCATCGTTTCCGCTGTTATCAAGTACTTTGCAATATCCGTTTTCATATGCATACTTAATTACAGCGTCTAATTTTTCTTTGGAAGAATATTCTAAAATTTTATAGATTTTTGAAAAGTATTCTCTGGTCTTAGGCATAATTGATAACATTTCAATGCAAAAAGTTTCGTGATTACTTCTAATCTCTCCTAATTCTTTGGAATATTTCCCGTAAATTTCATTATATACAGCGGGGACAGCAGAATCATTATCAAGACTACGTTCTTTTACACTACTATCATGATTTGGACCTTTAATATGAGAAATTAATTTTTTGAAAAATGCAATTAAATGTTGGCAGCCTGAAAAGTTCTCAACTCTTTCAAAGAAGTTGATAACTTCCATAATAGTTGAAGACTTACAGAAATCAAGGAAAGAATATTTCAATAGCTCTAAATATTCCAATCCTTTATTTGCGAGGGAGAGGATAATGGAAACTGCGTAATCCTCACTAATACACTTAAAATGAGAGCTTGAAAATATAAGTTCAGCGATGTTATATCCTAACTCAAATAAAATTGACACGAGGTCCTTTTCCCCAAGAACCGTGAAATTGTTGATAATAAATTGTACAATTTTATCGAAAAAGGATATTTTTTTGGCCTTTTGGCATAATCTTGATAATTATCGATTGTGCAATCGATTTTTTCGAAGTAATTCCTGTATTGCTTCATGAAATCTTCATTTCCTATCATATTTTCGAATTCAAATAGTTCTATACAAGCTTCTTCACTGAGTTTGTATTGAATTGGCTGCCCATTTATTAGTTTGTCGAATATCTCTAATGTTTCTTTGCATTTTATAGGCATGTAGAATTTGACTTCAGAATAATTTGATTGTAATTGGAGTTTTTCGAATACGATTGAACTGATAATTGCTGCATGAGAAGTAGATGTCATCCATTTCTTATCATTTATATAGAAATCAAACGGGTTTCTATATGTAAACCTTGCAGATCGTGATAAATAAGGCGAATCAATATTGATTTTGACAAAAAATCAAATTTGAATAAAAAATACTCGTAACTTTGCCATATCAAATTCCTTTTGTTCAGCCTCTCTACAATATGTAAATACTATATACTTAAAAGGAGTTCGTTTTATTTAGAAGTCGAGGCTAGAATATGAATATTATAAAATTTTCCGGATTATTTTTCATTTTTATGCAGTTATTTCAGAGGAGTTAGTTACACAACAGATAATAAAGCTTATCCTAAAGCACAATTAAATAATAAAATTATGATTACCATTTGGAAATTTGCTCACTGAATTCAAGGCATTCATTCACATAATAAGAATCCACATATACTAGATAATTCATTGATAATACTAAGGATGCCTAATTGTGCTTTTATATGGATTCAATATGACATGTAAACTATCGTTTTATTTTATTGTCAAAATGAAATCACTTTTGAAAAAATGGAAAGAATAGAAGGTCTTAATTCCAATGAAAAAGCATTTTACGAAGCCATTCAGTCTAAAATTGTTGAAAAGGCATGCAAGGCAGCTCCTGAAACACCATTAAGTCGAGTTCTTCAGGATTCCGTTGATTCATATTCCAGACTTCACTGGATTCTCGAGTTGAACGAAAGATTCCCATCATTCAAACATGATGATTACGAATCAATGGAGAATACATTTGGCCCAGATCTTACTGCAATGCCAAGATATCGTTTTGCTTCTCTTAAACCAAGCAGATCATCCCGCACATCAGAAAATACAACAAAGAGATTGAGCGGCGCTAATTTGTTTGTTAAAGAAAATACAGGAACTTTGTCAGAGCGTATGGCAGCTTGGAAGGCATTACCAGAAGATCAAAAGGCCAAATACAACGAGAGAGCGAGAAAATTGTAAATTTTATTTATTAGAAGTTGCCCTTACTTTTCAGTTTTATAAGGAGATCAACTTCTCGTATTTATATAAAGTTCATATAATTAATAAGCAAAGCTAATTACTTTTTATAATATTTACGCCATCGAAGCGCATAGAAATACAAGAAATTCATATGAAATCCAAAATATTATTTTTGATATTGACTAGAAAAATAATAGTTGACTTAAATAAAAAATAATAAGTGTTTATTACATTAATTATTAACTACATAAGGGTGCGCATCCTTTTTGACTTGCGTGATATCTTCAATCTTCTTAACTCTCTCATCAACTTCCTCTTCAAGGTCGAACATATCAAGAGGACCTGCTGAATGCATTGTATCTGGGAGAACTACTTCAGATTCATCTGTGCTTAAATTAAGACTTCTTTCTGCTACTTTCTCTTCCTTCTTTGGTGAAAGAGCAATTGATGAATGCTCCTGCTTTTTTGGAGTCTGTTTGTTCTTTTCTGGACTAAGGATTCTTTCGGAAATTTCAACTTCAGTTTTATTATCTTCTTCTTTCTTGAATGGAATCTCAGGAGCAACAATGGAAACATTCTTCCTTGGGCTACGTGACTGAGAAATATTATGGTTGGACTTAGTTGGTGTTCCTCTAGTTGAAATTTCAGATCTGTTCAAAGTTGAGTTATTTCCACTCTTCATTGGTGAGATAAATCCACTCATTCTAGACTTAGTATCGTTAATCTCTTGGATTGACCTCTTAAATGTAAATTTCGAAACAGAATAATCTCCATCGTCAATAGATTCTTCAATTGACATCATACTTTTCAGTTCTTTTGGCTTAGGAACAACTGATAAGCCTTCAACTGATATTTGATAAGAAATATCTTGAGATTGGAAAGTAATCTGTGTTGGAGTAATTAAAGGAACAGTTTTCATATCTTTGAATGATGTAGTAGTCTTTCTTAAATCGAAAAGTAATACGCCACCTGAATGTCCTGCAGCAAAAGTATAACCATCATATTTAAGTGCAGTAGTTGTAATTGGTATGTTGGATTGATGCTCAACAACAACTTCTCCTTGATTCAAATCGTAAATTTGAACATCTCCGAAGCTAGTTCCCATTACGATTACGTTTTCTTGAACTGGAGAAAAGTTAACTGTAGCAACAGCACCAATATCATGTATTTGAAGCATTTCTGCTGTTTCTAAACTATAAATCCTTAAGCTTTTTCCACTTGATACTGCGATATTTTCACCATTTGGAGATAACGTAAAATTATGTATTACACCATTTCTAGCACCGCTCTTAAAGAATGGTTGGACTTGTCCATTCTTGTTAATATAGATATGTCCATGATCATCTGCTGAAATTATCGCAGAATAATCGTTTGTATACGAGATTGTTACAATTGGGAAATCATGAACCTTATAAGAACCTAAGATTTTGAAGTTTGGATACTGAAGAAGCGATATTTTACCACTTGTAAATCCAACTACTATAATAGAAGAGTCTTCATTAGATGTAATATATGAAATTTGTCCTTCTTCGAAGTCGTATTGGCGTTGTATACGAGTATATATATCTGTAAAGTATATAACGGATGATCTTCCACCGGCAGCTAAGATTCTGTTCTCATTGAGGTATTTAATTGAATTTACGTATTTTAATGGAGTTGTAATAGGTATTGGTTGCTCTGCAGAATTCGTTTCCCATACCCTTATCGAAGAATCACAACAAGTTAACATTTTTTTGTAAACAAATTGAATGAGAAGAATTTATTTTTATATTCTTGCAAGAAATATGTGACCATTATTATTAAATTCGGATATACCATCAAAATTAAAGTATGAAACATATGAATGAAATCAATTTTTACCCAGATATTTTTTTGAATTTCGACAAATATCTGTTATTGAACTTTGACGCTTTATATTATAACATTAATGGAGATATTTAGAAGTAATCATATACATGATTTGATAAGACTTCAATAATCTGAAGAAGAATATTTATTCAATAAGGGTAAAGTCAAAGGAATCAGTCATACGAATTTTACAGTAGTATGAGATATAAAATCTTACATAATGCAAAGAAATCGAATGACAATAATAATTCTTCGGTATTTTCTCGAAAGATTGTTTTGTATTTTCAGATTTGGATTTCAGCAAAGATCATTAGGACTGTAATATTGTGAATTAATAGAAATAGATATTTATTCAAAAAGTTTGATTACAATTTCCAGGCATTCTTCATCATCTCGATGAATGCTTCATCAAGGTCGAATGATGGAGATATTTCACGATAGTAGTCAATAAATTCTTCACGTGTAATTGTCTTATCATCATCATGACTGTATGATGCGACTAAATTTTCGAAAACAGCTTTTGCAGTTGTCTTTCCTAATCTTACTAATTCGGAGTTGTCTGGATTATGGGCCATTTCGAGATCTGCAATTGTAACTTTGCCTGAGCCATCTTTATCGAGCTTATCAAATGCCTGATTGACTATTGCAATTCTACTTTCATTCATTGGTGGTGCCATTTGAAATAGAAACTCATCGTATGATACCATTCCATCACCATTCTTATCCAATAATCTGGCTAACTCTGTAAGTTCAGTCTTGTTAAGAATGATTCCACAATCATTCATAACTTTAGGGAGCTCGTTTTTGCAATCAACTTTCTTATCCTTGTTATCATCAGCAATCAAAAACAGTCTTGCGATTCCTCTGATACCCTGAGCACCTCTCTCCATAATTCTCTGACGGATACGTGTCATTAATGTGTTCATATCAATGTACTTACGCTGAACCTGAGACATATTACAAAAATAAAAGTGAAGAGAAAATTGAATTTTGTATAGACAGGAAACAAAAAAGGATTTACAATATGATGAGTCGCGTTTTCATAAAAATGATAGTTTTCATCCTCTCAAATATTTTCAGAGGTCATCTCAAAATCGATTTGAATACAAAAGTGTTTGATTGTAAAATTCTGAGTGTAAAGTGGATCTTTCGCATGATATCTATAATAATTAGAACCAGTCTTGTTTTATTTATGAATTATTTTTTATTGGAATGAGAAACAATTGTTCAAATTTATAAGTGTTCGGCCATTTACTGCTTTGCAGGCAAGTGAATATTACATTATATGATCTGTAACATATGATTTTAGTAAAATGGGTAGAATTAAAGAACTTTTGAAAAATTTAAGATGTCAACTTTCAAAAAGTATTAATTAGAGGTAATTACTAACACTGACACAATTTTTTCTGATGCATCAATCTGCGTACACGCATTTCCAACTGCTGGATGTCGAATTGTTTTTGGTTTCCTTCTTTCTGGACATACTTAACATAACATTCATTTATACTTCGAAGTGTACTACAGTTTTGTAAGCAAGAACTGGAAGAAATATTTGATTATCTAATTTTTATAACTATTTATTCAAAATATGATAACGAATATAAAGTTAAAACACATTGTGATAATATTAATGTTTAAAATACAAAACAAAAATAATATTGAAAAATTAAATTAGAGATAATAAGGACAGTTTCGTTTTCTCGTAATCACGATCATTTTGCTCATATTTTGCAATAACTGCAGCCTGTTCAAAACCAATTCTGAAAAGGCTGGTGAGATCATGACGTTGAGCATTTGTATATTTCTTATTTAAATCGAAGAGACAGTTATCATAAACGCCTTGATTTTGGATTTCATAATCTTGGCGTAGTAATTTCATTCTTCTGACTCTTCCATTTTGCGTTTGTGGATTTTTCTCAAGTTGATCCTCTTCCTCTTCTTGTTCAGTGTCTTCTGTGAGCTTTTTGATCGTTTCTTCATCCGTTTTTACAAATTCCGGATCATCATATTCGGAATCAGATGAAGGCGAGTTTTTATTACCATCTTCGTCATCAGAAGAGAAAATATCTTCCATTTCCAGTTTAGTTGGCTCAGTTTCTGTTGGATTTTGTCTTCGAATATTTTGATTTGGAAAAAGTGGTTGATTTAAAGCAAGATCGTCATGGTTTCCATCAGCTGCTGCATCTCTTATCATTCTTATTCTTCTTAAAACATCAAAAATCGGAATTTCTTGGTGTTCATCTTGTTCTTGAGCATTTTCTTCAGTCATATTTCCTAAAAGTTCTCTGTGATCATCAGCCATAAGTTGAAGTGCCTGTAATACGTCGATAAGAGGGTCATTACCATTATTTTCACGATTATTCCTTCTTATCTCAGTTAATCTTGCAAATAATTCAATAAGTGGATTGTTAATAATATTATTGTTATTATTTTCATTTTCATTCTCGTTATTTTCCAAATCATTTTGTTGATTTTGGTTTTGTTCTTCCAAATTTTGCTCTTCGTGATGAACATCATCTATTGGAACGTCTTGTTGTATGGGTTGCTCAGGATTTTGAACTTCTTCATGATTATTATTTTCATTATTTTCTTGATTGTTTTCAGCAAATAGTTGATCCTCTTCTTCTGGGAAATCATTGTTTCCATCTTGTATTTGATGTCTTCTCAATAATCTTGCTGGAGGAGCAATCATTGAAGTAAGAGAAGGAATTTCATTATATTTATTGTATTTAACACGCTTAACTGGAGGATAATTTCTGAAAACTAGCGAATTAGCATGAGAATCTATAGCAATTCTTGGTAATTTCAGAAGAATATCTGGATTTGTTTCTGGTATTTGTTCTTCTTCATCGACAATATCTTTAAATTTCACGAATTCATCATAATATGGTTGACCAAATTCTGGTAATTCTGATTTGCATGTGATTTCAGCTTTTCTTGCTTTCATTTCTTGCCATTCCAAACTTCTACCGTAACTAATTGTAGCATATGAGTATCTCTCAAAAAGATTTTCAAAATTATCGAATGTATTTTCTTTGCAAAATGTTTTTTCTGATATCTGGGAATCAAGAACAATAATGAGAGGTTTTTCATCTGTTATATCGTCTGGATGAACTATATCGGCGTCTTCTAACTCTTTTTCATCAAAATATATTGTAAATGTCTGATCTTTAAATTTATCATGATCTTTTAATATATCTTTTATTTCTTTGTATGTTGGCTCTTTGGATGTATCAATAGTAAACTTATTTCCGTCTAATGTGGTAATAGTTACTGATGACATCCAAATTTTAGTAGGGAGTAACAAAAAATCAAAGGTTATGAATATAATTGAATTTGAAAAAAATATGTATTTCCTACACAAAAACAATATATTTTGTTTGTTCTCTATAATTTATTTACATTTTTGTATCTTTTCAGTATCGGTCAAAAATTTTGTCAATTTTTCGATTTCATATTTTTAATATTTTAGTTTCCTTTATATAACAGAAACAATCTCAATAAAATTTGTAAACTATTTTTTTTATATTATTTTTTTTTTCATCAGATGAGCTTGCTGAAAAAGACTTCTGACTTATTTGGCTCACTTGGCAAGCGTAAGTCTGATGATGAAGGACAGAAATATGCACAAGAATTCAAACAAATGGTTAATAATCTCAAGAAAGAAGGGACACCTCAGGAATGTGTGTTTTTCTTTCTAGAACATTTAACTAGGCGACCACAAGAAGAGTTAAAATCCTACAAGTTGGAAAAAGAGTTAACAAATCTCGCAATTAAATATTTGCCAAACGTGATTAAAAGTATTTCTGACTTGGCCGTTATTGGAGAAGCAATCACATTTTTAAATATCGCAGTAAAACTCTTCCAACCTGATGCCAAACTTATACTTTTACAATTAGATTTAATTGTTGCTATAATGAATACAGATACAGTAGAAATCTTAGACCTTACATCAGATTTCATACATTCGTTTATGGAAGATAAGCATTTTCTCAGTTTTATGTTAAATGGAGATTCATTAGCTCGCATTTGGGACGCGTGCTTTGTTTTACATGAAAATACAAATGCATTCTATGGATCTGTACTTCTTGCAGCTATCAATTCTCACGAATTTAAGAATTACGAGTTAATCGAACCTCTTATCAACGTTTCTCGTCAAGCTATTCTTAATTGTAAACTCACACCAAAAACAATACCAAATGCATTATCATTTATCGGATATTCTATCTCAAAAATCGATACTGGATCTTACATTGACGAAATTTTGCCAACAATCGTTGATCTTGCACCTCTACTGACCAGTCTTCAGTTTTTTGAGAACTTTTTACGAGCACCAGTTCAAAATAAACTCATTGTTTGGAATACTTTAAATGAAATCATTTCTAATCCGAAAATTTCATCACTATCTGTTAAAACAGCATTAATAGCCATTCACAATGCGAACTGCTTCCCTCCAAAGACGTTTTCTTTCGTTCCTTTCATAAGATGTGTAAAAGATTTTCCTCCTGGCATTCAGAAGATGTTATTCGATGTTTTGTTACAAGTTCCAAGAGTTGTAAGAGCACAGTTCTTCTGCAACGTCTCTCCATTGAAAGAAACTCAAGTTTCAACTTTGGGATTATCAACTATGGTTTCTCAAGACAAATGGGACCCATATACAGAGAAAATGTTACAGTCATTCTTCCTGGAGAGCAAACCCGCCATTTTGCATCAATATTTGAAAGATGATCCTTATATAAATATTATTGCGTCAACATTATTAGATCAATTGAAGTCAGATTCACAAGTAGCTGTTGGATTGTTCGGAAGATTCATGGCTTATGCAATTGAAGGAACAGAGCTTGTTATGCCGTTAATTATCAAAATTAGCCAAAGAATTCCTCCTTCTTCTTACATGGACTCGTTCATAGGCTTTGTAGATAGCGGTGTACCACCATGTATCTACCAAGGCTTAATTAGTACAGTCAGAAAAGTTGATTCTTTCAGTTCTACTTTTATAAGATGCGGAGGCTGCCGCGCGCTATCTAAAATTGTTGAGTCTACGGATGGAATTAATTTCCTGTCAGCGTTGGCCTGCGACGGCCCTTATCACGAAATTGATGATTTTATTCAGAGGGAATTTGACAACTGCAACTTGTCGAAGCAGCCAAATGATGTATTGACAAGACTCATGATGGCCGTCCCAACAGATACAAATTATCCAGGATATATCAGAATTCCGTCTTTATGCGCTCATGTCGATCCAGTTCCGATTTATTCCCCATACGATATGTTCATATTTGGATCTACTGGTCCGCACTTCATGAAAATGGAGAAAAACCACTTAACTCAAGTTGTCGGCAGATTTATTTCATCACAACAAGTTTCAACTGTTTGCGATGACCCTGAATTACTCACAGCAGCAACTTCTACTGACATTCCTCATACTTCTCTCTATCAATTTCACCCTGCTGCAAGAAAATCAACAGCTCAGGCCATTTTGACGCCTTCTTTCTCATTCTGGGTATACGTTGCTGACTTTTTAGGCAAAACTATCATAGCAACTCTTGGTGGCGAAGAAGCATTTAAGATTGGATTGGAAGGAATCAGCGTTTTTGGCCAAGAACCGATCGAATTCTCCATAAAGCAATGGCACTTAATAACATTAGTCTCAACAGATAAACTCCAGTACAAAACAACGTTTTACATTGATGATAAACAAGTTCATCAAGTTTTCAGGATCTATGAGAGAATTACTTTTGGTTCTGAGACCGAAAACAACTCAATCTGGTACCTTTCGACCACTTTCCCTCACTCAACGAACGAATTTACTATGGATGACATTAAAAATAACATCAAAGAAGGTCCAACGTCGCCAATGCACTTCGACAACATAAACATCAACTCAGGTGTGAAGTTTGTTCCATACAGAGGTGTCGTCAAATACATCCACGCGCTGGGTGGCCCAGATTTCATATTTTTAAGGTTACTCAAATGCGACCAAACGGAGACATTTTTACTTTACTTGCAATGTGCGTTCAATTTATTAAGTTTGCGTGTGATAACTCGGAAAGATTTCTTTTCAAGTATCAGATATATCCTTTTACAGAAGCCAGAGATGTATACAAAGCAAGTAGAAACAATTATAATGTTCGAACTCGCATCAAAAGAAGGTTTGAACTGGGATTCGATCAATTCTTTGTTTTGTGATTTCGGATTCCTTACAAGTTCTATTGTTTCTCTTAATTTCGTATGCCAAGGACTAAGTGAAAGCAGATTACCTCTCAAAGCCTTGCCATTGATCAATTACGCCATTGATTCCTTTGTTTTCTTTGATTTGACAGAAACGGCCGAACAAAATTTCTTCAAACTCTTAGAAAGCTACATAAAAGTCCATCCAGAACTTCTCCGCAAGAATATTCTCACAATCATCGCTCTTCCTTATTCTAATTCAGATGATATCGAAGGAATTTACGACGAAAAAAGGTTCCAGAAGCAGAAGAAGCTTTTAGACATATTACTCGCTAACTACAAATTGTTTGCATTGAATGTTTCTTCGACATTGGCTTTCACAGCTATTTCTTTGCTTCATAGTGATTTGGCTGTCAAAATTTTCCATTTTGTGGCAAATATAATCGCAAAAGTGCCAAATTACTACGATAAAAAAGATTTCAAACTCATCAAACAATTTATCAGAAATAATGTGTCAAGACCAAGTGTTTGGAGATCAATTTTAACAGTGTTGACAAGTGTTAGACATAAACAAATCGAAGACTATTTAAGTGAAAAAATCTTTAGATTGGATTTGTATCAAACATGTCTCGATTTCTTATGCGATTTGTTACCAATTGATTTGGCAAATGGAGCAAAAAGCGACAGTCTATCGTTCAAGATTTTACATCTTTTATATTCATATGCGATGACACATCAAATATCATTTGTTTCAATTGCAAAAACAGTATCAAGATTATGCACTTTCGGTTATGACGGGCGTGAATTGACAAATTTACCATTTATTGCCCCAAGTGATGACAAAACTCCACACACAGTTCCAGTCAAATCTCCTCGCAGAAGAGGATTTTCATGGTCCGATGTCAGGAAATCAATTGGAGGAGAGTCATCGAAACAAACAATTTATGGACCAACAATAACTCAAGAATTGGATTCAGAATTATATTTGAAAACTTTACAATACTTCTCAAATATGCAATTCAATGATAATTTGGTCGAACCACCAAAATACGAACCAATCAATCCACCTGAAGATTTTGAGAAGTTCTTACATTCTGATGTAGGAAACTTAGTTGTTGTTATTGCCGTGAAAGTTCTTTTAGAAGCAGCAAACGATTATTCTTTATTCAAAAAGAGTTTGCCGATGATAACCGTTTTCGGATCAGATGTTATTCCTGAAATTGCTGTTTTAATGCATCGTAGAATCATCCTTTCTTTTGTAGAGAGATTGGGCGGAATTGCTTTGGATCCTTTCAACTCTTTCGTTGAATTTTTGAGTTTCAGAGTTATAGAAGGATGGTGGGAAGGACATATTGAAGAATTATTCACACAAGTATTAAAACATTTGAGCAGTAAAGTTAAGTTTGCAGCACAGTTCGTTTTGGCTTGTATTGGACAGAAACAATCTCCAGAAAATTTGATTTTGTTGGCTTCTGAATTTGCTCAAACTGATTTATGCAAATCTTTATCACAAGATATGGAGTTTTTGACATGTTTCTTGAGATTAGTTGTTACGAAAGAAGTTGTAGAACATGAGTTATCATTAACTCTTTGGCTTTTATTGCAGAATACATTGCCGCAATCATCATTTACCGATGCATTACAAAGAGGAAAACAAATGGAATGGATTGAAAATTCTCAAAAAGAATTTTTCGGATTATATCTTTATATTTTAGATGCTGCAAAAACTAATACACAACAGCTCTTGCAGACAAGAATTGCTTTGTCTAAAGTGTCAAGACAAACTAAAGAGAACCAACTCAACAAAACAAATTTGAGCCAAATCGCTATAATAAGAAGAGCGATGAGATACGAATTCTTCTACAGATTAAACAAGAAATCTCTTGATTTAGATGAAGCCATTTCCAGATTATACAGAGCTTATGCAAGAGAGAAACAGATTGACCAACCATCTGTTAAAGTACAAGTTGCAAATGCTCCTCATCCTTTGTCTGTTCCCCAAAAACTAGTTCCTCTTTCTTTCGATTACGAAGTTAAATGCGAAAAAGATCCGAAAGCGTCGAAATTAATGCCAAGATCGAACCATTTGATCAATCTTAACACGGAAATCTCTGAGCTCAAAATAGAACAGATGGCGCCAATGTGTTTGGATGGATGGGCTGTTCCACCTTTCATTCCGTACGGTTTGGCAGGTTTGGCTGAAGAATATTTCAATGCCAAAGAAAAATTGTTTAGTTGTAAACTATTGAATACAACTGAACCATTACCATGTGTTGCGGCGATGAATGACAAGCAGATAACATTTATTTTGTACGCGAGTATGACTGATGGCAACTTGATGATGCATGAGAATTCTCAGTTGTTGTGTCATTACGCTTTAATTGAATCCGCTGTCAGAGGATTTAATGGACAAAGTCAGTTGTTTGTCAATCATCCGACATTGACATTTCCTTTCGATACAATCACTGTTTGTGTGCCAAGGACTTATGAATACAGTGATATTGCGTTGGATGTTTTCACGGCAAATGGATTTTCTATGACGATTTTGTTGGATGAAACACATAGAAAATACATAATGAATCAGATCAAACAGACAAAGAAGGCAATTCCTGCTTTAGGACCAACGTTTTCTGCATATTTGATGCAGTTACAACCAGAAAATGTTGCTAAGATGTGGTCGAAACATCAATTAAGTACATTGGATTATTTGTTGTACTTGAATGCAAAAAGTGGTCGCTCATTTAATGATTTTAGCCAATATCCTGTTTTCCCATGGGTTATTTCTGATTATACAAGTGAAAACCAACCATCAGAACTTAGAGATTTAACGAAACCAATGGGAATGTTATCAGAACCTCGCGCACAGAAATACAGAGAAATGTACCAAGAAACAGATCCTCCTTATAATTACGGAACACATTATTCATATCCAGCAGCAGTTCTCCATTACATGATGAGATTGGAGCCATTCACATTGTTCAATGTTATGTTACACAGCGGTTTCGATCACAGAGATAGATTGTTCTGTGATTTATACGAAAGTTACAGAGGAGCAAGTGGCGCAAATCAAGCTGACATCAAAGAATTAATTCCACAGTTTTACGTTTTACCAGCAATGTTCACTAATCCAAATGGTTTGCCATTGAAACAGAGAACAGATGGACATGACTTGGAGAACGTAAAATTGCCTCCATGGGCGAGAGATGCAGATGATTTTGTTTGGAAGATGAGATCAGCTTTGGAATCAAATCAAATCAGAGAAACAATTCCTGATTGGATTGATTTGGTCTGGGGATACAAATCTCGTGGACAAAACGCTGTTGAAGCTAATAATGTCTTCCATCCATTGGCTTACGGTTTCACAAATAATCCACCAACACAAAGTGATTTAGATGTAATTAATAATTTCGGTCAATGTCCCCAACAAATTTTCACTTCACCTCACATTAGAAGTGAAAATATTCCAACAAATTTGATTATTGATGGACCAACAAGGACAGCATCTATCAAGACACTCAAAGCAGACAATGCACACTTGTATGTTATGGATGGAGAAGTTTATGCTCTTCCTAATTTAGCTCATAAAATCGAAAAACTCGAATTTTCGGTCAAAGAAAGATTTTTCTTTGTCCAAGGAGAAAATCCACAATATGATGATTCATTGTTTGATGTATCTAATACAGCATTGTCAAGAGATTACACATTGTTAAGTGTTGCAAGTGAAAGTGGCTTTGTTTTGAATTATTTGATTAATTTAACTAGTTCGCCACACTTTTCCATTTTGTCTACATGTTACATTCCAGGTGCCGCATTCAAAGCAGTTGCAGTTTCAACACACATCGGAATTGTTACTGCAAGCACTCCAACAGAACTGTTTTTGTTTGATTTGGCTACAGGATTGATGATGAAACGTGTTTCAATTGATGAACGAATTATCCGAATTTCCATTGATGACAATCACGGTCGAATCTTCACTGCATCATCACGTAAAGTTTGTATCTATAATACAAACTTAGATTTACGTGTTTCACATGAATCTCCTATTGCCATCACAACTATTTCTGTTGGTCAATACTTCGAATGGTCTGATGCAACTATGCATGTTACAGGACATGTTGATGGTTCTGTTTATGCATGGATCTGCAACAAAGACAACAAGTTTGAGTCTAAGATCTTGATGCGTGCCATGAATTTACCGATTACATCATTGTCAGTCATTTGCAATGGTAAAGCAATTATTGCTGCTGACATCGAAGGTGATGCTGCATTTTGTGCATGCACAGACATTGGTCCAGTTATCAAAGCACAGTGTTTCTCGGCATGTGCATTATGTACACAACCATTAGTTAATGGCTCAGTTTGCAAGATCTGCGGTATGCCCGTTTGCAAAGAATGTCGTGAAGCACGAGGTCTTTGCTCTGCCTGTTCAGCCAAAGTTGGCAGCAGCATTGAAGTTCCTGTCAGCAACGACGAACAGAATTGATATCATATATATATATTTTGTATATTTACATTTATTATTTTTTAAAAATTCTTTATTTCTATATATTCAATCCTCATAATTTTTTTTTACGAATTTTCAAAACATCTCAGAATACTTTAAGCAATTTTTTAAGATTCTTTAATACCAATAACAGAAAGTGAAAATATCACAACAAAGTAAAATGTGATATGGTTCTCCTTCAATGCATTATTTTTATTGAAAATATAATTACTTTTTTCTTCATTCACTAAATCTAAAATTTCAAAATTACAACTTAAATACAACTTCTCATATTCAAATGGATTCATTACATTGTTGGTAATAGTAACTGATCCTGTGGTTTTAGGTTCACTTACATCAATATAACATCCATCAACTGTCATTATATCTTCAAAAATATTAACATTTTTATCTTTAAATAAATTTCCACTCTGATAAATAGCAGAATTAAGAATTTTATTTTTATATTGAGCATTATTACTAACATCAGCATAACAATACATACCTTCTTTGCCAGAATTAGAATTTAAACTACAAATTCGATTTTGGACGCATTCACCTTCTGTAGAGAAGAATAAACTACCACCATTTCTTTGAATGCTGGTACAATTATCGAATTCTGTATGTTCAATTAGAGATTTTGTCGAACTTTTCGAAGTCGTAAACCTAATGGCTCCGTCAGTAATTAATTTACCGAATTTGCAAAAGTTAATGTAATAATTATGATCTTGGGTACTAACATTATCACTTTTCGAGGAATAATTTGTTTCGATTTCTGAATTTGTGAAATATTTTTCCCATTCTTGATGAAACTGTATTTCGATAGTCTTTGGATTGCTTCATATGAATTAAATCGTTAATCTTGAATTGAAATTGTGCTGAAATATCCAGTTTGATTTCCTCAAGAAAATAAAAAAAAAATTTTTTTATATGAGTAGTCCGTCTTATGATAGACGGTCCTCATCATTCAATCCAACATTTTCAGATGATACCAGTCCATTATTATTTACAAATGCACACTTTTATGGTGCATTATTTGAGTTTTGTCCAGGAACCCAACCACATATTCTTTGGGAGTATGGTCGTGCTGATGTTTCAGATTACGAATCATTCAAAATGTTTATTGTTAACGAACAAGCACCATTTGCCCCACTTTCATCAACAAGTGAAGAACCAACAATTGTTCAATCCACTTACGAAAACATGAACTACTTCGCTATATACTCATGCATCCTCGATGTTGAAGCCAAAAGTTTTACACGTCCTATTGTTTTAATCATTTCCAATATTAATCCACAAATCATCAACCACGTTTATCACCTTTACGTTCATCGCTTCATTGACTATGTTAAACAACTTAAAACATTGGCCGAACGCTATTTCAAACATAATTTGAAATTATACACAGAAGAACTTTTAAAATGTATTGAAATTCACAGTGAAAAATCAACCAAATTACAAAAGAAATACAAAGAAATCGAGAAAACCATCAATTACTATCAAATTAAAGATATAAATTACGAAAATGCGAAAATTCGAAGTCCAGAATATTTTTTATTGCTTCACAACAACTTACAACCACTTGAATCACTTGCCAATCTCAGTGACATCATTTCATCACTTGATAAATTCATTACAGAGATCCCAACAACTTTACTTTGCTCATCAATTGCAGTTCATGCCGATGTAAACGAATACGATCCACAAATGCAATTCTCCGGTGTTGATAAACTCCATGGCTACAGTACTCTTGCATTCAGACTTTTCTCAAGGAACTTTACAGATGATCGCTACAATTTGAGAGGATTTGTATCGAATCAGATCTTTTATCATTGTGCGTATACATTGTTATCAGGCCATACATTAATTATATGCTCAGATAATACACACATCGCGTTATCTCTCGCGAAGAAATTTTGTGTATTAGTTCCATTCTTTCAGGAGAGCTATTTACGTGTAATAGATGAAGCCAATTCATCATCTTGTCTCCAATACTCCGTTGTTGTCTCAAAAACCATTTCCAATCCGAAACAATTTGAAAATTTCGCCAGTGTTTTAGATTTGGACAAGAACAAGTACAGAGGTTTCGGATGTCCACAGACCAGTTTTGTTATATCCAGACTCGGAAACTTGATAACTGCAAGCGAAAGAGCATTTTTACTTTCATTATACACTGAATTAAAGAAAATTGCCACATATTTCATAATTGTTATATATACAAATGCTTCACACATAGAGAAGAGCCCAGAAAAGATATTCCAAGGCTTAAAAGAAAAAGGAATTTCAAAGGATGACGAGCCGATTTTCAATTTCTGGCTGATGTCGTTCTTTAACAAACATAAGATGAGACCAATTCTCAAGAAGACATATAATATTCCTTATTTAGTTTTGAATTTTTAATAAAATGTATTTTTATTTCTGTTTGTTTCAATAATTAACAATGATTGTTTATAGATAATGAAATAAGTTTAGATAAGGGCTTCTACACTTGAATATGATATATATAACTCAGTCCATAACATTAAAATTATTCCACAAATTCGAATTAACAAATCCCTTGTCAACAACATATACTGCTCCCAAAATGTAGACATCTTGGCATTAAATTCTGATTTGTAAACCGCGCAACTCAATATTTGAATTTCATTTGGAAATTCACATGATTTCTGTATTTCTTCCTAAAATTAATAATTTCGCTCATAATTATGTTATACACCAGTTATATTTTATTCTTACAAACTTGAAATAGCCAACAGCTCCGCGGTAGCACGATTCAATGAAAAAAATTCCTTAATACGAACTTAGACTAATTTCAGCATGAAGTGAATAGTGTAGTAGCTTTACATGCTCTATTTTATTTGAAAATACAAATTTTCATCATAAAATCTGCCGATAAACCTTAAATTCTTAGTCATTGCATATTTGTTTATATTTATTGAATTATAATATCTTTGTTTTCAAAATTTTGCGCAATTTGATGAACTCGATTCCTTTGATTTTTTCCCAAACATCGAAATTTAATGGAGTTTCTTCAAGCAATTCCAATGAAATGGAAATTATGTTTAAAGTAACACCTTTACCTAAAATGATGCCTGAACAAATCGAGAATTTCATCACTTTATTAGATATTCATGTAAAACCTGGAAAAGCAGCATCCATGGTCGGATTCACCTTTCCATTTCAACCAGAAATATGCACAAAAATCATGAACGTACAGTTCGAAGATCCAACTTTTGTTATTTTATATACACTAAACACGTTCATTGCATGGATGATATACTTTGAAAAAATACATTCAGTCCGTTTTATTGATGATTTGCTCAATACATTATGCTGTATCGATATAATTGCGTGTACAAAATATAAAGATTCGGTAGAGATGAAAAAAATAGGCATAAAGAAATCAAAAGATACTGTAGATCATAGTGTATTTCCAGAAATGTGTTCGTTAGCGTTTTTTCAAATGTATTCAATTTTATTAGAAAATAATGTTTATCAATTCAACCAACACTTCTTCAAAATGCTACAGCAATTCATTCAACACAATATAGACCGTGCAAATACCATATTTAGATATCTTTGTTCCACAATATCTCATGTAAAAACAAATTCAACAGAAATGCAACTTTTATTCAAGTCAATAGAGTTAACTATCAATACTGCAGAAGCAAATTCCGTAGATTCTAGCATTATCGATAACATTATTACTGCTTTAGCAAATCAATTGATAGAAATGAACACTGATGCATTACATATATTTCAAACATTGATACCTTTTTGTAATATACAGAATCATGACTTCATTTTTAATCAAATTTCAGTTACTTTAGTTAAAATAATTTTATCTGAGTGTGAAGCTATGGAATGGCCACAAAATCATGGGAAAATAGTTAAGATAGATGTAGAACAGGACTATCCAGTCATCCATGATATAATTTGCTCTACATTTCAAGATGGATTACCAAAATTTGAACAGATACACATAGAAAGAGCAAAAGAGTATATGAGTTTTTGTTCACAAAACACACTTGATAAGATTTTCTTATTTTTAGCTTCAATTTCGAAATATTATGATCCATCAATAATTTTTGTGTCTTCTTTATTCAACGAAGCATCCAAACACACAGAATTAGGAAGTATACCTCAAGTTTACTCAGCGTTAGTCTTTGTTTGCATCAATTTACTCTCTTCTTTAACAAATTTCAACACAGCGGTTTATCTGGCCAAAACCGCCATTTTTGATCCTTCAATTACGATATTTGACCATCCAGATCATTTCAAATCGATGAGCAGATTAAGATTAGAAACAATAACTATTTCTATGAAGCAAGGTGCGAATTCATTTAATGAATTCATGAATTATATCAGACCATTTCCAAAATTAACAGCAGAAGTTTTTTATAGACTTTGCGATGTTGCTTCTTTGTATTATTTATTGATTAAGCAGGAACAAAAAGCAATTCGAGGTGTTGTTGATTCATTTCATTATTATACTCGATTGCACATGAAAAACACTGAATATAAAGAAGAAGTTGAGAGAACAAGAATTGCGCAATTGACATTTTTGAACGCGATGCTTCAAGGGAAAAATGCAGCAGAATTACTTTATCAAGACATGGATTTTGTGAATTATTTCATAACTTTGTTGTTTGAAAAAAGTCTTAGAAAATGGGTTTTATCTCAATTACTGACATTTTTCAAAATCGGTGAAACAACAGCTCTTAATTATATTATTGGACCATTAGTTACTGTTTTTGCAAATAACAAAAATGATTTTTCAAGTAAAGAATTTACTGATTTGATAAATGACACAGTAACAATGCTTGCTGAGTTTCATCATGTTAGAAAAGGTTTGGCTTCTATTGTTGGACCAATTCATGAAGGAATTAATCTAATGATTCATGTAATGCCTGCAAATGAAGAAACAGAAAAGATTTTATTTACTTGTATTAATTTATTCACTGAAGCAGGTGATGATAACATGCTTACTGCTGAATCAATGACAATGTTGAGTGCTTCAATTATTAATTTTTACCAAGGAAAGCCGACAAAAGAATTATATCATAGATTAATACAATTATTTATTGGTGACACATCTTCAGAACAAAAACCAGAGTTTGAAATCAAAAATAGATCAGTTTTGATTTTATTATTCCAAGTTTTCATTAATTCAACATTCAGTGCTGATCTTCTTGACTTCCTTTCTAAATTATTTGATTTCAAAATCTCTAATTGCATCATTGGCCATAAAGTTAGATTTGATCTACTTCTTTTGAATATTATTAATGATTTTCAAATGGAAAGAGAAAATGATTTGGACAAAATCAAAAAGATTTTACATTTGTTCCAACAAATCGTGATGCAGGCAACGAATAAGAAAGTTATTCACTCATTTTTGCATAATCTTGATCCTTTGCCTTCAGGAAAAATGTCTAAATACCATAATATGTTTGTAGAATGTTTGTTTGATATAATTTACAAACAATATAAGAGTTATAATTATTGTATATACTTAGAAGAAGAAAAAACAATGTTAGCAGCAAGTGGACAAACACCATCACATTCTTTCGTGTTTTGGATATCATCAAATCGCCTTCCTGAAGGAAAAATGGAATTCATGGATATTTATTCAAGAGGAGCTTCAATTAAACTATATATTCAAGAAAATGTAATGTATGCATATGTTGAACAGGCCAAATTCCTTATTGAAATGGGTCCTGTTGTTAAAACTCTTTGGCATTTCGTTTGTATCACTGTTGAAGCAGCTGAAAACAAGTTTAAGATTACAACAAATCTTGATTTTAATTGTACAATCAATTCTTGTTCATTTGAAGCGAATTCTTTTGAAACTTTTGCTAATCTTCATAATTGTTCGGCAGAAATCTCTTATTTCGCAATTTTCCCTATCTTAAAACACGAAATAAGACCTCTTTATTCATTAGGACCTTTCACTGATATCGGTTCCCAAAAAGATGCTGTTGCTTTTGTTCAAAAACCATTTGCAAAACTTTGTCTTCCGAAGAAATCAATTTCTACAATTTTAACTGAGAAATATTCTTTTATTCCTCTAATTAAACGCGCAAACAACGCTGCTGCAGACATTGAATCAACACTTTATTATGTTGCTTGTTTCATGAAACTTGCTGGATTCAATACAATGGCACAACAAAAACTGTATGATATGAAATTCATGCAAGCATTCGCTCACGCATTGAGATTGAAACCAAGAGATTTTATTTCATACGAATTGTATTTGTCGTTATATAATTTCTTCATTTCAATCACGAATATTGACTTAAAGGATTCAATATTCAAATATGTATTGAGTGAATCATTAATTTGGAATAATGCAAATCCTTCTGTTCATGAACAAATTATTGCACATTGGGCCAGAGTTTTATTCAAGAGTTACATGCCACGAGCCGCGAAACTTCGACCTTTCTCCAATTTATTCGAACATTTTTCACATAATTACATCGAATCTAAACTGAGTAGATCAAGTTTCCAAAATGTTCTTATCACAGTTGCTTCAGAAACGTTTACTGTCAGTGATTTCACAACAATTATATCGTATTGTTCTAGCTGCAGCAATGAAGAGTTTTCTCTTTACTTGATGCAATTTTTGAACGCTTTGATGATTGAAATTCCAGAGAAATTCAAGTCAGTGAACATTTCCACTGAAAGAGTTGCAACATTCCAATTGTTAATGAACATAAGTGATGACAAAATGATGTCTTGTGTCATTGAATCGATTGTTCAATTCGAACGAATAAATGACGACAAAAACATGTTGTCACATATTGAAGCCATTTCATTTTATATAATGCCAGATAAGATGAGAGAACTGTTTGTAGCAAAAATAACAGAACTCATGATATCAGACACTCCTGAGTTATTGTCATTGAACTGTTGGGCTGCTGTTCACGCGTCAGGAATTTATGATTTAGAAATACTAAAAAACGCGTTGGAAACAATAAATGTTGTTAAAAAAGGTCCATGGATGTTTTGGCCATTAGTTCTAGCAATAAAAGTACCTCAAATGACTGATTCCGTCATAAGATTCTTATTCAGATCTTTGAATAATGATTGGGTAAAGATATTACCAAATGCTTATGTTGCTTGTAATGCTTGTAATGTGAAAAATGATAAATTATTAACAGAAATTTTACTTTTCGTGATTAATAAGCAGAAAATTGATGACATACAAAGCAACTACAGTGATATAATAGACGCTGTCGTTTGGTATATGTCTTACAATGAAATACCAATTGAAGATTCACTTTTGTTTAATTTGTTGAAAAATGATAAAAGTGGAATCATTAATACAGAAAATTTAGTTCCACAAAGTGTCCAAAATGTTCCTGAACACCAGAATGTAGCAAGTCCAATCATTGTCCAACAAAGAGTAAGAAGAATCAAGAGAAAAACTTCTTATTCCGTGTCAGCAGCAACATCAGGAATTCCTCTTTCCGATACAACATTTTTAAGGACTGAGAGTTATGATGCTTTCTTTGGAAGTAGTGTATCAAGCAAATCAAAGAAAGGACCACGACAAGTTGTTCTTATTAATGATTTCAAGAATGCATTGATAGGAAATGACCAATTGATGATAACTTATGGAATGAGAGTTGATGAAACAGGAAATTGGGCTGATTTGAAAATAGCTGTTACTTTATGTAATTTCGCGTGTAATTTTTATAACGCAATTCCACAAATTAATGATGATACAGTTGATAAACTTTGTTGGCTGTTAGTTAACGTTTCAAAGTTCGATCTCCATTTCGCAAAGAAATGCGCAATGACAATTTTACAAGGAAGAGAAAGTTTGGCTCCTTTCTTAAATAATTTGCCAAATATTACGTCTGTTAACTTTTATAGAAGAATGTTTGAGATGCCACAGAGATCTGAACATATTGAAACAGTGTTTCAAGAAGTAATTGAAGAGCTAAGGACTTATTCCACAAAGTTCTTCGAGAGATTGCTACCAAAATTCACAAAAGGTGTGATGCAAATTATCTCAGAATACGAAACGACTCTGAAAGAAAGGAAGAGAGTGACAAGAGAAATGGTTGAAGAATGCAAGGCTGCTCATGATGCTCTTATCAAATTGTTTTAATATCATTTTATAAATGTTTTATTATTTGTTTGTTTATTATAAAAATATTGTTTAAATTTGTTTAGACGAAGAATAACTCTTTTCAGAATAACATGACCTTCAAATAGTTTTGGAGTTATAATATCTGGATTTGAAATAATGAAAAAAAAATTAGGCAATATAAAAGATTGATAAAAAGATAAAAAGTAAAGTAATAACATGAGATGAATAATGATAAACATCTTCTTCATATGACTTTTTATATGGTCTCATCAATAATAGAGGGTATTTCGCCGCACAGAGATATGTTGAAAAATGTGATAGTTTATTAATAGGATAAATATAATTCAGAAGGTTAAAAAAATTAATATAAAGAGAAGTATTCTAAATGTAAATGATAGAATATTTAATAATCATTTATTATTTCATTGTTTTCTGGCCATCTTTGATTCTTCAGCACAAAAAGACCTTTGTTAATGGCTTTTATTGCCAGAGGGAAATCAATTGTTCCTGTAAATGATCCGTGGTGGTACATTCCAGGAACTTGAAAAGAAACTATCCAAATGTTCTTAATCAAAGCGTTTGCAATGACAGGATCATCGTGCATGTTGCCAAAGCCAACAATGCAAACTGTGTGTGGATTCATCCATACAAGATTTGCGAAATTAGAGCCAGTAGGTCCGAAATACATTAAACAGCTTGCGTAAGCAATTACAGACTCTCTAAATGTAGGATACAGTGTTTCCAATACGAAAATTCTTATTTCTGGAAATCTAAATTTTGCTATTTCCAAAAATTCAAAGAAATTAAAGAAATGTCTGTTTCCCATCGGCCTGTTATAGAATCCATATCGTGTTGGAACAATATTTGTGGTGTTAAACCGTTTTCTCATCATATTTGATAATTTTTTAAGTCCGATGTGGATGCATCCCTGAACAGTCTCTGGATTATATACTGTATGGAAGTGGTGAGCAAACACCCACTGATTGTGTTCCAAAAATAGTATCCTATCGCTGGAAAATCCGAAAACTTCCAAAGCTTCTCTGTAAATGGATGAGTTAACAGGAAGTAGGAATATAGATTTGTTCATTATTTCCTGCGGAAGAAATAACAATGGTGCCAAAGCGTCACAAATCCAATGGCCGTACATTATAACCCACTTTGATCCAACGGAAATAACGTCTTCGTAGTAAGCAACTACTTCTCCGCTTTCACCAAAGTGTGGAAGATTGTTTTCGAGACTTGGATAAACTAATTTTCCTGATATATTGGCAGATCCACCGTATGGACCTGCATAAACGTATTCAAAGTCAACATATGTAGCATTCGTATGATTTAATGCTGTAGAAATAAAATAAACACTGCTCATTCCTGGAATTTTTCCATCATCCAAAAGATATTTTTCAATCGCAGAATAATTTCCTTGAAAGTATACATTATGTTCGTAAAACGGTGTTGCTACTATAAATTTCCTAAGAGAATTCGAATCAAAGTAATTATATTGTGGATGAAACGAAATTTTAACTAAATTGCTATTTTGAAGACTTTGAAATAGGATCATTATTATCAATGACGATCCTAGTAGATAATATTTAGCCAATATTAGTTGTCGTCTTATTTGGTTGCGCCGATATTTTAGACGTATTTTAAATTTGTTCGTTTTCAAATGAAACCTATTTCCCAATCCAATAAACAATAAACTTCTAATCATTTACGATAAAATATAGGAATCTATCTAGATTCAAAACTATTCTAGCCATCTATTCTTTGCTTTTTAATTTTTTTTCTCTTTCTGAAAAGGGTAGCTATATTGACAATTGTGACAGTAGAATGTGTATGATGCATTGTTTACTTAAATCGAAGAAAATTTATTTCAAACAGATTTCAGATACTTTTGCGTTTCTTCCTTTGCATGATCTAAAGCTGTTTTCCCTTCATTATCTTTTGAATCTTTATGAGCTCCGATAGATATCAAGTATTTGATTATTTCAAGTTGATCTTCACTGGCTGCAACAATAAGAGGAGTGAATCCTGAATTATTTTTGGCTTCTTTATTTGCTCCTGAAGAGATTAGATATTTAGCTACATCGAGATGATTTCTCTCACAAGCATACATAAGAGCATTATGTCCTCTATTTGTCGTTGCTTCAATATCAACTCCAATTGAAACAAGATATTTAACAACTTCTAATCTGCTATAATATGCTGCCCAAATGAGCGGGTTCTTTCCACAATTATCCTTTGCTTCTTTATTTGCTATAGGTGATGAAGTTGCATCCATATCTAAACAGAAGTCACCAAGATCGTTGAATATTATATGAATAAAAATGAACTCATCATGTAACATAACCGCTACTACCTGATGCATGTTAATTTGCATTAATATAAATAACTTATGTTTTTGCGGTAAAAATTGAATGATTATTGGTCCGTTTTTTACATTGAACTGACATCACTTAATGGTGCAATTACCACTTTCTGACATTCTCTCAATTTTTTTGACATATAATCATTATATACCAATTTTCTATGCTAGAAAATTAATATTTTGATATATTAATAAATCACTCAATAGTACTTCGATTGGCAGTTATACTTTGATATTATATGAAACGCCCTTAAGCCATTAAACGATGAGATCAAAATATTAGAAATGCAATATCATATTCATATTTATTCCATTAAAAGAAAATTAAATTATTTATAATCAACAACTTATTTTGAAATGTTTAATATCATAATTGAGAGAATAATGATAATGGTACTTAATACAGCTAGCATTGATATTAAAATAACATGCAACGTTCCAAAACTATCAAAAGTTTCGAATGGCACCGATCTTTTTTGAAAATTTTCATCTAAATCAGTTATATGGGTATACTGATCATCATAGTAAAATATTTCATTACCTTCTATAATATTTTGGTCTATTTTATATGTCGGACCATATTCACCTTCTTTGGCATACCTAGCCGGATTGTTATAGTCCCATATTATTTTCCGACAATCCATATAGATATTTGTATAGGGATACATTTTACCATTTTGACATATAATATAAGAATCTGAGATATTCTCAAGTAAATTAATATCATTCTTCTCAGGAGTAACGACTACTTTGTAAATCAATGTTTCTTGGAAAGTCCTATCATCAATCAGTTTGACTGTGGAAGGTACTTCGAAGTAGTTTCGTTGATTTTTAATAATAAACATCAAACCTCTTGATTTATTCATGAAACAGTTTCCTTCAACATAATACAATGGATGTCCACCATCTTTGAACTTGAAATCAATCTCTGAGCCAACAAAACTCGAAACATTAATTGAAACCAAAGAGTTTGGAATTAATAATTCTGAAATACTTGTGTATGAAAGTGTCAAATGACCAATAGCTCTGATATTTTCATTGAACTCAAATGTTCTAAGTTCAGTACAATTAAAGAAAGCATAATCGCTAATGTTTAATAGATTAGTAGGACAATGTAATTCCTGTATCTTTGATTCCATAAATGCTTCATCTTCAATGTATTGAAGAGACTCAGAAAGATGCAAATTAATGTTTGCAGGTGAATATTTAAAGCACTGATATGGAATCATTGCTAATCTTGACAAATTGACGTCTTTTAATGAAGCACAATCCATAAAACAACCAGCACCAACAATAAATAATTCATTTTTGAATTCCAGTGTTTGCAAACTTGTACAGCCGCAAAAACAGTACTCGCCGAGGTAATCAATAGTTACTGAATCTGGTATAATGATATTGGTTAAATTGGAGCAATATATGAAGCAATAATTAGGAAATCCTACGATTTTATCATTCTTAAATTCAATTGTTTTAACACTAGTGCAATTGTAAAACATATAACTATTGAGTATGAGATTTTGATGCACGATTATTTTCTCAAGATGACTGGTGGTGTTAAAAGCATACAATCCAATTTCTAAAACATTCTCAGGTATTTCGAAACTTGCTGCCTCTAAACCACCTGGATATAATATCAGACTTGTTTTGTTTGCGGAATAAACTATATTATTTTCCACATAAAAGTTTTCGTTATCTATGAGTAAAACTTCCTTTAAATAAGGATTATTAATACGATTGAATGGAAACTCCTGGTAATCTCCAGTTAAAGTTATCTTTTCAAGATGTTGGAAGAAATCATCTTCTGGATAATAATATAATTCACGAAGTACTTTATGAAAAATAAGTTCTTTGATTTTGGCACCATTGAAACAGTCGAATGAAAGCGTGTCAACATTCTTTAAATCAATAGTTGTGAGGTTTGTATTTATGAATGCTTTCCAACCAATACCGGTTATTGAACTTGCTAAAGTTACTTCGGATAATTTCGTGCAGTTTGCAAACATGCAGCTATTGATATATCGGAAATTAGAATTTTCTTCAAAGACGACCTTTTGAAGTTCATGGCAACAATAAAAAAGCAATCCATAATCATCCCATCCATGAACTCCCTTTATTGTCATCTCTTTAATATAAGTATAGGTGAGAACTCCATGATTATATTCGAAATCATTCCCTAATATAAGTTTATCTGTCCATTCTTTGATATCAATTAATGGACATTGTTCGAATAAACTAGAACCAACTTCCATTTCGTGATCTCCCCATCCAATAATATGTTTTAACTTTGTACAGTTAAAGAAGCAGTTACTATAAATAGAAGTACATCTTGTTAAATCAAGAGTTTCGAGTTCTGGTAAGTTTGCTGCACATGTTACACTTTCAAGTCCAGGAGGAATTGTTTTAATAAGTGCGTTTGAAATTTCAATTGTATAAGTGTATTCTGGATCATTTGGAACAATGATTTCTTCAATATATAAATCTTTCAATTTAAGAATGGTACAATCTTTTGTGAACTCAATAACCTTGAGGGTATGTATTCTAGGAATAATATAACTCTTGAATACTTGTGTATGATATAGCAAACCGTCCAAAACCATTTAATTCGTGACTGTAAGTGAGTTTGGTTAAAGAGATGCATTTAAAGAAAGCGTATTCAGAAATAGTTGTTGCTTTTGACTCAACTGTGGTAAGATTCAAGCATCTATAGCATATATATGCAGCAATATTTGTAAGCGAGTCGGGAAATGTAAGTGATGTAATAGCTGAATTAGCAAAAGCGTAATCTTTAACGTCTGTAACGCTGGGAATATTAACAGTACTAAGGTTTATGCAATAAGAAAATGCTCCTATTCCAATGTATTGTATGTTATCAAGTTGAATTTCAGAAATTGTTGAGTTACAAAAGGCATAGTCGCCAATTCTTGTAACACTACTAATGAGAATTACCTTTTGAATGTTCGTGTTATCTTTAAATGTATTTTCTTTTATTTCTTGAATATTTTGACTTTGAATTTCAATAGTTTTTACTAATGAAAGGCCTTCAAAAATAGGAATCTCATTAAAGTTTCCGCCAATAACAAAATAAAATTATTATAAATTAAATACAACCAATTGATAAAACAAAAACAACGCCTGTGAAAAATTTTGAAAACTCCCGATAAAAAGTTCTCAAAGAAATTTTGAGTGGTTAACTAATTCAAATAACAAAGGAAAACACCCTATTTTTGATGTAAAATTGGAAAAAATATATTATTCACAGTAAATAGATATCAAATTTTATATTTAGCCGAAAAATGATCTCAAAAATTCACATTGAATTTTTGCCTTTCAAAAATAAAATTTGAAGCATGCGAATATAAATTAATTAATACATCTAGTTTCGTTATTAAGATATCGATATCGAGACTTTTCAATGCTCGATTTTAAGGTTCGGTTAATATTATTGAAAGCTCAGACATATTTTAATATTTAGCCGGGCTATTTCAGAGGATTGAGTCCAAGTTCAATCCTCTGAAAAGTTATGGATATTTTTTTAATAATTTTTCAATGATATACAAGTTATCAAAATTTATGTAAACATTTCAAATTTGAAATATCAATGTTTTCACGATTTGTTGTTCAAACTCTCATTTCAAAGGAGAATAAACTCAATTGCGAATTTCAAATCGACGGGACTAATCTGATAGTCAAAAGTACTCAAGATTTTGACAATGTTGACGCATCATTACAAGCAATGAAAGATAATAACATTAATACTTTCACATATGACGTACAATATTCTTTTCCCACTTTTATTGGTATCAAAATGGTTGAACATATTGTTATTTCTAAACAGACTAGTATTTTAAAAGAGGATGTTTTATTGTCGTCTGGAAAAAGTGACAAAATTATTATTGTCGTCTAAAAAGGTGACAAATTATTATTGTCGTCTGGAAAAGTGACAAAATTATCATTGTCGTCTAAAAAATAGATTTTTCAAGCATGTTTCGGTACCTAAATAAAGGAAGAACATCAATTCCATCTATGTATATAGTATGCAAACACGCATGATATATGGAGTAGCTCTTTATCTGGCTAAAAATACTATTATTTGAAAATTCGCATTGTCGTCTAAAACCGCCAGACGACAATAATAATACCCCATTTTAAAATATGCATTATATCGTAGCTCTCATATAAAAACGCTAACATTAAATGCTTTAACTACAATAGAACCTTATTCCTTTGCATACTCAACAATTGAAACGATTAATGGTATTGAAAATTTAAATTCGATCCAAGAAAGTGCCTTTGAAGGGTGCACGCGTTTAAACTTAGAAGGTAAAATTAAATATTGTGTATATAATTGCTTTCGTTTTACAAAAATTAAAAATATTCAAGTATCAAGAATTGGAGGAGGTGCATTTGCTGACATGCATGAACTAGAAACAGTAACTATTGTTGATTATGATATAATTCCGGAATTTGCTTTTTACAATTGTTTCAAATTAAAATCAATTACTTTTACTCAACCAATTACCGTTATTGGCAATAATGCATTTGAAAACAGTGCCATAAAAACATTCGATTTCAGCAACATTATTGCAATTGAATCATATGCTTTTCGAAATTCCAAACTTGAAACGGCTATTTTACCCAATTTGAAACTGTATCCAGAAGCATTTGCCGAATGTAAGTACTTAACATCTGTAACAATTAGTGATAAAGTTACATTTGTCTCTATGATTGGAATATACTCTCCTATTGAACATTTCAGAGATTGTTATGCTTTAACAACCGTCAATTATGGCAATACAGGAACTGTATCTAAAGGAATGTTCAAGTTCTGTTACAGTTTGAAGACATTTTCATCGTCAAATAATAGTCTAGAAATTCAAGATGAAGCATTCTATTCATGTACAAGTTTAACAGATATATCAGCTACTCAAGTTGGAAGAATAGGATCTAAAGCATTCATTTTATGCAACTCTTTAACATCATTCACCCCACAATTTTCGACACTTGGTGACAAAGCATTTTATGGATGCGAAAAGCTTGGAACAATTGATGCCCATGATTGTGGAAAATATTCATTTGCATTTTGTCCATCAATTAAATCATGTATACTTAGATCGACTTTACATACTGGAGTTATGATGAACTGCACAAGTTTAGAATCTGCAGAATTGGTGAATGTGCGAGCCATTCCTGATAAATGCTTCTTTGGCTGCACAAAACTCAAAACAATAACTTTCCCTACCACAGTAACGGTTGAATCAATTGGAAATTATGCTTTTCAAGATACTATTTTAGAATTAGAAACATTAGATTTAAGTGGATGCAATCAAATTGGTAACTATTCTTTCAGGGATGTCAAGATTAAAAATCTGAAATTGGGTAATAATTATCAAACATTCACAAGACCACAATATGAAATTGGTCAGGGTCCATTCGCTGATGTTAAATCAATAGAACATATAACAATTGCTGCAAACTCTGAAGCATTTAAAGCTGTTGATTACAAAGATTCACCAGATGTTACATTCACATTTGAAACTCCAAGTATTTATACAGAAGATGATAATTTAATAACTAAAGATAATGAAATTTATTACTTTAAGCCATCTAGTTCCTTAGATCATTTTGAATTTACTAGCACCCACGCCAATATACACTACTATGCATTTTCAAATGCGAAAAATCTAAATAAAGTTACAGCTAGAAAATCTCTTAGTTCATCACCTTTTGCATTTGCACGCTGTAAATCTTTGAAAACAGCATATATTTCCATGGAGGGCATTGAATCACAAAGAATTTTGAAAGATAACGATGAACAACCAATAGTTCCAACAGGACTCTTTGCAAATTGTACTAATCTGGAATCTGTGACAATAGGCCATGGCTACACAGTAATTAGCGAAAGTGTATTCGAAGGATGTTCGAAGTTAATGTCCGTAATTATAATTGATGAAGGTGTTAGTTTAGGAGCATTTTGTTTCGCTAATTGTACTTCACTGACTGATATAAAATTCAATTCTATTAATAGAGTTGATGCATATTGCATAGCAGGATGCACCAATCTAACAACACTTAACTTCACAAATATTGAAAGTGCTGCAGAAGCAGCGTTTGCATTTTCATCATTAGAAAATATTGTTGTTCCTGACCACTTTTTAGTTAACTTTTCATTTAGCTATTGCAGAAATTTGAAGAAAGTACAAATTGTTAAAGGAGGACATTATGATTATGCTTCAATTAATCGTGGATGTTTTAATTGTTCTAGTTTAGAGGAAATTAATCTTTCAGATAATATTCAATCTATAGGTGAATATGCATTCGGATTCACAAAACTTAAGTATCTTTATCTTCCTAACAATGTAAGTGAAATTAATTCTACCGCATTTTATGGGTCTGATGACATCCAATTGGATCTTGATGAATGTTCTCATCTATATTTTACACTTGGTAATTATGAACTTATTGAGAGGGCAACATATAAACTTGTTTTAACATTTGGAAAACTCCCGTCAACTTACATTGTTCCTCAGCAAATCAAGGTGATCGGATCTAATTCAATATTATCGCGTCCTATATTTAACGAACAAACAAGCAAAGTTGTTGATTTTGGATTGACAACATTAGTTATAAGAGGCAATGTTGAAATAGAATCAAATCCTGTTTTTCAAGATCTTTATTTGCATAATCTTTGTTATGGAGGGAATATGAAGCCGTTCGATTTCGATGTACCAAACGTCAAACGAATCTTTGTAACCGAGAGATATATAAAAAGGAAGTGGGGTTTTGATCAAAGTGTAATTTTTGATGATTGTGATACTTCAGTTCCTTTTGAGAATTACGCCAATAATATTAATAAATACCCAGAAAATCCAACTTACATTCCTTATCCAACACCAAGGCCAAAGAAGAAATATGTCTGTTCTATATTAGGCGAAATCGAAACAATTATCGAACCTGAAATCATTCAACCTGAACAAGAACCTTCATCCAATATCACCGAACCTTCTAATGAACAAACGCCATCCAGTGAGCAAACGCCATCCAGTGAGCAAACGCCATCCAGTGAGCAAACGCCATCCAGTGAGCAAACGCCATCCAGTGAGCAAACGCCATCCAGTGAGCAAACACCATCCAGTAAGCAAACGCCATCCAGTGAGCAAACGCCATCCAGTGAGCAAACGCCATCCAGTGAGCAAACATCATCCAGTGAACAAACGCCATCCAGTGAACAAACGCCATCCAGTGAGCAAACGCCATCCAGTGAGCAAACGCCATCCAGTGAGCAAACGCCATCCAGTGAACAAATACCATTCAATGAACAAACACCAATCAATGAACAAACACCAATCAATGAACAAACACCATCCAATGAACAAGCAACTTCATCAGAATTCATTTCTACGGTGGTTGATCCTAAAAAGGGAAGTGGATTTTCAAATTTGATTATAGGATTGATTATTGCAGTGATCGTCGAATTATTGTTAGTGTTAGTAATGATATTATTTATCATTATAAAGTCAAGAGATGATGATTCTGATTCAAGTTTTATAGAAATGGATGAAGAAGCTGTGATAAATGCCCGCTTAGATTCTACAGCAATTACTCATGAAAATGTTTTATTTACCATGAGTACAATGGTTGACGATGATCCATTTGCACAAGACTTTGAAGATGCACCACCAAATGAATCTTTTTATACTGGTTTAGATGATGAAAATGCATAAAATAAACATATTTTACTCATGTATTTTTAGTAACGAATGAAAAAAAAGTTTTAATTTATATATTTTTTTATGAACTACATCACTTTATATATGAGAATTGCAAATTGACAGATATTTATCATATAAAAACTATTACCAACATCATATAAAATGTTCGTAAAATGGTGTTCCTTGAAAGTATACACAAAATAATTTCCTTGAAAGCATACACCATGATGTTGCTACTATAAATTTTCGCAGAGAATTCGAATCAAAGTAGTTATTGTGTGGATGAAATGAAATTTTAACTAAATTGCTGTTGTAAAGACTTTGAATTAGGATCATTATTATCAACTAATATTTGTTGCCGTCTAATTTGGTAGCGCCAATATTTTGGTGGTATTTTAAATTTGTTCAATAACAAACGAAACCTATTCCCCAATCCAATCTGAAAGCTGTTGTAAAGACTTTGAATTAGGATCATTATTATCAACTAATATTTGTTGGCGTCTAATTTGGTATCGGATGAGACATATCACATTTGGAAATAAAAGCATTATTTACTTAAGTAAATTTAATTTTTATTTATTTCAAACAGATTTCAGATACTTTTGTGTTTCTTCCTTTGCATGATCTAAAGCTGTTTTCCCTTCATTATCTTTTGCATTTTTATTAGCTCCGATAGAGATCAAGTATTTGATTATTTCAAGTTGATCTTCACTGGCTGCAACAATAAGAGGAGTGAATCCTGAATTATTTTTGGCTTCTTTATTTGCTCCTGAAGAGATTAGATATTTAGCTACATCGAGATGATTTCTCTCACAAGCATACATAAGAGCATTATGTCCTCTATTTGTCGTTGCTTCAATATCAACTCCAATTGAAACAAGATATTTAACAACTTCTAATCTGCTATAATATGCTGCCCAAATGAGCGGGTTCTTTCCACAATTATCCTTTGCTTCTTTATTTGCTCCTACTGATATAAGATATTTCACGACTTCAAGATGACCTTTATCGGAAGCCCAAATAAGTGGGTTCCATGCATAATTATCTCCAGCTTCGAAATCGCATCCGCATTCAACAAGGGATTTAACAAGTCTGGTATTTCCTGAATAGGCCGCTTGAATAAGTACATTTTTACCAAAAGTGCCTTCTCTCTTTTCCCAAAGCCCTTCTTCACATGCTTTTCTTATCAAATTTTGATTTCCTTTTTCTGAAAGTTCATCTGCCAATTCTTCATCCTTTTGATTGAGAATATCGATCAGTTCATCAAATAATCTCAGTTTCATGTATTTTCTAGCAGATTTTAGCAATTTAATTGCTTCATTAGAATCTTTTATGGAGATACTTGTATTTTTAGTGCATGTAATTAATATATCTGTATCAATTGTAGAATGGGATTGTTTAATAAGGTTAATAAATTCATTTGATGTTAAATAGGCGTATTTCATAATGTGTTTGATGTCTCTGCTTTCAAAAATATCGAATAGAGTATTCTCTTCAATAAAATCTGTAATGTGGTTAGCTATGTATTCATAGTTAAGCATTAGTGCATGAGATATGATAAAAAAAAATATAGTCGCAAACAAATAAAAAGCATAAATTAAACCAAATATCAGCTATTGTATCTAATCATTGAGGAAAAACTACCTAAACATAAAAGAAATGAAATCTGGTCATTCCATTATTAATATCTTCAATTTAACATATTTGTTCTTTTCGAAATCGGTCATAGTGTAATGGTTATCATGTAAGATTGTCGTTCTTTTGATCCGGGTTCGATTCCCGGTGACCGAGCTTTTTTTATTTATTTTTATAAATTTGTGCATTTTATCGATATGAGCGACGTAAAACCTCTTCGAATTGATATTAAAGAAATTCCTGTTCGCTCAAAATATGATCCATATAGAAGAGGAAAAGATCCTATCTTTTTTCAAGGCGAAACAATAAAAGGATCTTTTATTATTCCAAAATTCACAGATCAATCATCCATTCGCCATAAAAGTATTACCGTTAAAATAGTTAACGCAATACTTCTCCAACGGAATATTATTTCAAAGCATGATGTTGCTGTTAAAAAAATTGCCAAAGATGGAGTTTTAGATTTACCTTCTAGAATAGATTTTGAATTCAAAGATGTTAAATTTGAAACACCTTCATTCCAAGGTTTTCGATATAAATGCAAATACTTTCTCGAAGCTTCAATAAATACAGGATTTTTAAATTCAGATGTAACAGCTCACCATCAGTTTTTAGTATATGATACAAATACAGTAATTATTCAACGTCCACCTGTTTCTCTTCGAATTGAATCACCAATTATTACTTTTGATGTATTTTTCGACAAAGGAAGCTATTCAGTTTCAGATACTATTAATGGACAGATCGCATTCGGTTTGACAAAGGACTGTCCGCTAAAAGAAATTTATTTCAATTTAATTATAGCAGAAAAATATAATGGAAATACAGAGGAAACACAACTAACACACTACCAAATAATGGATGGTCTTCCAAGACCTGGTACTACTTTCCCATTTACTATAAGTTTGGATCCATTTAAAATTTGTTATTTCCATGACGAAAAGAAATTACCCATTGTAACCGATTTCTTTGTTGAAATTCAAGTTTCTTCAAACACAGGAACTTTATTTATATCTAGACAACAATTTCCACTCTATTTTCCAAAAATTTGAAATTATTTTAGTAAACATTCATTTCATCATTAATTTTTAAAATTATTTTTGTCACTCTTGCCCACACTCTCACGCTTTGTGGTCTTTCGCTACCCTTAATTTTTCACATTATCGTAAAAAATCCTAATGAAGTTAATGACGTGTTTAAAAAAAGTTAAATATGATTTAAAAAATATTTCAGTGGTGATGACATATGCGAGAGGTGTGATTTATTGACGTGAATGTGGAAAACAGAAATGATGAGAGCACAGGAACGGAGTTATGGGGTCTCAAGTCAATGTTTTTTCGTTCACTCTATAAATCACACTTCACATACTACTAATATCTTAGTATTTTTTCATCAAAAAGTTTTCAATATTTTTTTCAAAAATATTATAACAAATTAACATAAATGAACGATTCTTCTAAGCCACAAAGAAGTACACATAACTAATGTATTTCTTGTTTCAGTAAATCGTGCTTTAGAATCAAATTTTATGCTGCAAATCTGAACAAAAACAATGTGTTTATCGACACTTTTAATTTGTTATCCAAATTTGTAATTAAATTTTGATGAAAAAGATGATTGGATAGCATACATTGTTGTAAAATATTTTGAATGTGAGGTGTAAATCATTCAAATTAAATGAAAGGAAAGCAACAAAATAGGAGGCGTCTTCAGGATGTAGAGCAGCCTATTATTGTTCAACTTGCTGCAAATGCCAGGCCAATAAAGCCTATTCGAAAATATTCTGTGATTTCCCTTGAAAAATTAAAATCTGATTGCATGGAAATTTTTAATTTCCCAATCGGAAATTTCTACTTTGAAGATGGCACTAAAGTAGAGTCACTAGACCAAATTAAACAAAAGCATGAACAAGAACCAAAATTAATTTTACTTGTTGGAAGAAAAGGAGAGAAATTCGCTCAAAAACCTAAGGAAACCAAGCTTCCATCACATGAGATGCAAGAAATCAACGTTCAAGCTATGTTCAAAGAAGCAGATGCAGTTCAACCTGCAAAGCAAATCGAATCTACGGAAACTCTCGAAGATAGAGCAAACTTTTATGTTGCCTTATCTAAAATGTCAATGGCACAAGCTCAATTATATGCTAAATTTGCTGCATTTTCAAACATTAAAGATGAAGATCAAAATAAGCTTCCAGATCACGAACTTTATCGTAAGCAAATCGATGCAAACAGGCAAACATGTTTTTACAGGCAGCTTGTTGAAAAACGCATTTGTACTTTAGATTCTGTTTCTCCAGTCACAAATTCATTGACAAAATGGTCGATTGATCTCTTAAGTAATCTAGACTTAGAAAATATTAACATTGTTATTACAGGACCACGCTACAGCGGAAAAACAATGACATTAAACAATTTATCCACTGTTTTCCATCGTAAACTAACGATGTGTGGCTTAGGAGGACAATACCTGATGTTACCACTTAATTTTGAGACCATACAATTCGAAATGGAGAATGAAATTTCATTTTTCAATTATATCTTGAATTCTACCTTTGATTCTCTCGGATACACATGTCCACAAGTACTTCCTATTGCAGAAGAATTACGCAAATTGCTTGCATCACTTCCAGATTCCGTTACAATGCGTAAATTACTTCCATTTGCAAGCAAAGTCAAAGGATTCAACGAAGAACAGTTCGAAAAGCTCGGAAAGAGTATCATCTCAGCATTCCAGTTCAAGGAAACCAATGCAGCACGCAATGTAAGCAAACAAGGTGTGATTTTGAATTCAATTTTGAATTTACCAAACGATATCGCAGCTGTTTTCGGTCTCAAAGGTGTTGTTTTCGTTATAGACCACATCGATATGTGTACACCAGAAGTTGCAGCTGTATTTTCTCCAATTTTGGATCAATCATCTTATTTCATTTCGGAAAAAGAGTCAGAAAAGTTCCAACAACTATACAGTCTCAATTCCGCTGTTTTGATAGATGTAGAAAACATCTGCCAGCCAGTAGATCAAAAGACAATCGTCTTACAACATCCTTCTTTCGAAATTAAACAAGAAATGTGTAACGGTTGTCCAGCGGTTTTGTCACTTTTCCAGAAAACATGTGACTCCATTTCCAAGTTAACAAAACAGAAGTTTACTCGCAGAGTTAAGTTAGTGACTGACAGATGCCGAGAGAGTGAACTAAATTACGTTTTGTTGACATTAGCATTAGTTTTGAAAGAAGTCAATCAAACTAAAGAATTCAGTGACTTAGTTTCACAAATAAACGAAAGTCTGAACTTGAAGGCAACTGTTAATGAACCAGAGCAGAAACAGGAAGAACCAAAAGAACAAGAAGAAGAGAAACAAAAGAAAGAAGAAACAAAATACGAAAGAAAAAGAATTCCTTCTTTCGAAACATCAGGAAACAACAAAATTGCTCAAAATCTTCTTGAAAATTCTTCATCTTCTGATTCTAATGAAGAAGAAATTAATGATGAACAAGAAAAGATTGATGCAAATGTCATAAATGATGAAATAAATGATCAAGACAAACCATTACTTTCAAGTTCTTCTGATAATGAAGAAAACAAACAAAATAACAACAACAGCAAAAAACTTCTGTTTTCATCTGATGAAGAAAAAATTGGACAGAAAGAAGAAGAGAAAACTCCACAAAATAAACCATTGATGTTCTCTTCTGATGATGAAAATAATGAACTAAAGAAATCTCCTGTTCAACAAAAACAACCAATGTTTACTTCATCTTCATCAGAAGAAGAAGATCATGAAGAAATCAAACCTTCTCCAAAGAAACAAACTAAACCAATCTTTTCTTCTTCAGATGATGATGAAAAAGAACCTCCAAAGAAAGAAAAATCAGATGATGAAGAAGAAATCAAACCTTCTCCAAAGAAACAAACTAAACCAATGTTTTCTGATGACGATTTCGCAAAAGAACCTCCAAAAGAAGAAAAATCAAATGAAGAAGAAATTAATCAAAAACAGAAATCACCAAAGAAACAAACTAAACCAATGTTTTCTTCTTCTTCTGATGATGATGATGATGAAGAAAAAGAATCTCCAAAGAAAGATAAAGAAGAAGAGGTTAAACCAAAGAAGAAACAGACTAAACCGATGTTTTCTTCTGATGATGATGATGAAGAAATTAAACCTTCTCCAAAGAAACAAACCAAGCCAATGTTTTCTGATGATGATGAAGAAAAAGAACCTCCAAAGAAAGAAGAATCAGATAAAGAAGAAGAGGTTAAACCAAAGAAGAAACAAACTAAACCGATGTTTTCTGATGAAGAAAATGAGGAAATTAAACCAAAAGATGAAGAAAAACATCAAAAGAAATCTCCACAAAAGAAACAATCACCAGCAAAAGGACACTTGTTGTCAGACAGTGATGAAAGTGATGAACCTCCTCCACCAATGAAGAGACAAATGATGTTTTCTGATGACGAAGAAGAGATCAAACCAAAACAAAAAACTCCAAAGAAACCAATGTTTTCCGATGATGATGAAGAAGAAATAATACCAAAGAAACAAGAAGAAACAAAGCAAAAGTCACCACAAAAGAAGCCAATGTTTTCTTCTTCTGATGACGATGAAGAACCAAAACCAAAACAAGAACAAAAGAAGAAATTACTTGATAGTTCAGATGACGAAGAAGAGGAAGAAATAAAGCCAAAGCCAAAGAAGAGACAACTTGATAGTTCTGATGAAGAAGAAATAAAACCAAAGCAAAAATCTCCACAAAAGAAACCAATTTTATCAAGTTCAAGTGAAGATGATGCAATTCCACCACCAAAGAAGAAACTTCTCGACAGCTCTGATGATGACGAAGAAATAAAACCAAGGCAAAAGTCTCCACAAAAGAAGAGAAAATTGTCTGAAAGTGATGATGAAGATGATGTTCCTCCTCCAAAACAAAAATCACCTCAAAAGAAGAGATTATTAACAAGTTCTGATGATTCTGAAGATGATGTTCCTCCTCCAAAGCAGAAATCTCCAAGAAAGAAGAGTTTATTGTCTGATTCAGATTCTGATGATAAAGCACCTCCTCCACCATTGAAGAAACATGTTATATCTGATTCAGGAAGTGGCGAAGACGTGTAAAGCAGATTAATCTAAACATTATTTTTATGTTAATTTAAATTTTTATTTTAATTTTTAATTCTCAGTAAATATTTCTTTATAAACTAAGATTGAATAAATAGGATTGAAACTATAAAGCTTTGATCAAAATGTTATCCAAAAGTATCAAGATGCATGAAATACAATAATAGCAACTATATATCAATACCTCAGGTATTCTCACAAGAAGCAATGCACCTTAATTATACTTTTTTTTCGTTAAATATTGATCAATAATGATAAAAGACTTAAATCTATTGGAGCAAAAGTAGTTTAAACCATGATTTATTTATAAGCATTATAGAAATTTATTAATCATGCATTAAATTTTTCAAGAATGATTTTGTAGAGCAAAATTTTGCCGAACATTCTATGAAGGTTTTGTTTTTTATCATATGAGCTTTTTAATTTTGATGGCAGTCGCCTAAAGCACAGATACATTTTTTAGCACTGTCACTTTTGTGCCTAAATGCAGGATCCCAAAGCTTTCATCCCTCAAAGGCCTTTGAAGCCTACGAAGGATGATGTGCTTGCTACTTTTATCCGGCAGATTACATCTGATGGACCGATCGATCAGATGACTTTCCGAAAGATTCGGAACTTTTACTTTGAAATGCCTCCAAATGAGTTCGAACAATACTCAAAAAAGCCTCACAATCAACTCATTTCGACATTAAATTTCCTATTATTACATCCACAGACAGATCAAGCAAAAGCAGCCGAATATAAAAAGAAAATTACGAATATTTTAAGTCTTTTAGCATTTTTGAATTACAAATTTACCGATTTAACGAGTATGGAGATCATTAATCTCATTGCCAATCAAATTAAGGTATGCAATCATAAAGAACTTTGCTTATATCTCAAAATCGTCAGAAATTCATTCGAAAATCACGAAAAAGACTTCGAAAAAGCGAACAAATTGGCATCAGACTCCATCTTCCATGCCATTTGCCAAAGAATCGATGACTTTCTCGATCATTTTGAAACTCTTCAACCAGACGAATTCTTCCCTTTGATCACGATCATCACTATTCTTCTTACGTGCGTGAAATCTGTTGAATTGATGAAGAGTATTTTCCAAAAATTACAGCCTAAGTTAGAGAAAATTTTAAATTATCAAATTCCCGACGATTTTACTTATGCGAAGCGAGCAACTATACAATTACTCAAAGTTAAATGTGGTATACTTATGGGTAATGTATCCCTAAACAACACAAATAACCCGCAAACAGCGAATTTAATTGTAAACACTTACATGGACATTCTTATGCAGAATTCCGGTGTTGCATCATCACTAGTTGATGAAACAATCAATTCCTTCACTTACATTTTCAAACAAGACCAAGCCAGACGTCTAGATATTATTGCAAAGCATTTTCCAACGCTGACCCACTACAAATACTACAATTCCGAAAACTTCGTCATATACCACAGTCTTATACAGAATATTTTAGAATACGCGTTCAAAAGAGATCGAAATGAAAAAATTACTCGGGAATCATTCTTAGTCAGCTTCTGCAAATACGATGCAGGTGTTCTACATTTCTCAATGGTCCAATATTCCTCAAGTAATTTCAGGTTCGGCCAACTAATGCAGTATATCAGATTTTCCAACGACGATCAGCACTTAACAGCCTGTTTGTTCACATTATTCTTCAATTCCATCGATACCGGATTTGTTGAAATGGCCGCCAGCCTTGCCAATCTCAAGTCGAGCGTATCGAAATCAAATGCAGTGACACAAGTCCTCATGCAGCTCTCCAACTTCGCCGATTGCTATTACAGACTACTTAAATACTTCCAGAGCTTCCTAATGAAGCTATTTCCACAAGATGAAGCCGAAAAACGTCAATTGCATAAACAAATTTCGACAAATTTGTCTTTGATTGACATTGACATCTTGTATTCATGTTTCCGACATGCTCTTATCTTTACCATGAAGTTCAGAAGCATGCTACACCATGGTTCAGAGCTGTTGCATATTCCAAGTCCTGTTGGAGATCCAGAAAAGAACTTGAAACAATGCACGCAAACATTGGAATCTGCGAAGAAATTCAGTAAAATCAGGCAGTATCATTTTAGTTCTGCCAAAGAACTTGTCAGATGTTTGTCAATGACAACACCGTTCATGATGGAGAATATATGGTATTATTTCTTCAGAGATTTCTTTGGATTGGAAGATGAAGTGATTTTTGACTCATTTTTATTCAAAGAATTGATAAGAGATAACCAACTGACAGAGACATTCATAAACTCATTAGTCAAATATTCTCTAAAAGAACTCAAAAACGGATATCAAATTAAACATTTGATTCGTTCTTTGAGTTATATCTTTGAAAAACTTGTCCATAAACCTCCTCAACAGTTGATTGCAGCACACAGACCACAGGAACCGCAATACAATCCACAGCCAAGTCCTGATTTTATTAAGAACCTTTCTATCCCAGCGAACAGATTTTTGGAAGTTTGCAAAGATTTGGCAAAATCAAATGTTTATTGTCCTGATGTCCTTTCTTTGATAAAATCATATTACCAGTTCATGGAATACATCTTAGGACAAAACAACAACCCTCTCAAGATCTCTGATCCTTTGGTTTCTGATATCTGTTCAAATGCTGATAATTGTAATTGTCCTTCAAAAAATTTGTGTGAATTCATTGAATTCTGTCAAAATTTACAAAAAGATTTTCTTAAATTGAGGGCAGTTTTATCGTCATTGATTAATGCATTGAAGAATGATATCAAGCAACCATTAGCATTATTAAAACAATGCTTTGAGAGATATGAAAGCAATTTCTTATCCCATCCAATGATTCCTCAATTTTATTCAACTTTGTTGGTATATTTAGACAACAGTTCTGCGGAAATCAGACAAGAAATTGTCAATTTCATTAAGAATATACCAAAGAATATAATTGAAGAAGTCATTTTCCCGTCTTTTAGTGTTAATAACAACAAAACAATTGTTTTAGATGCAGAAACAAAACAAATAAGAGTTGATTTCGATTCATTTTTGCATGGATTGAATTGCGCAATGTCCGAATATCCAAATATCGATAAACTCTGGGAGATAACGAAACAGATTATCATTGATGTTTTGAATCAAACAGAGTGGACAAGCGAAATGAGGAAGAACTTCCAATCATTGATATTTTTCATTTTGCCAATGCGTCAAAAGAATCAAAATCAATGTGATGATGTCCTCAAAACTATAATCCAGACATTTAATGAAAACATCTCCGCTTTGGCTCATGTTTTCACCGCTTTGTGCTCTTGCTTCCAGGATCCGCCTCATCATTTAATGAATTCAATTTTGGTAAATTTGAATACCAAAGAAAAAATGTCACTTTTTATAAATGAAATTGCGTTCATTAGTAGTTTACAGGTCTTCCCTAGCAAAGGTGTTTCTGAGACTATTTGCCATTTGATCATCTCGGAAATCAAAAAGGAATTGATTGATCCAATAACTTTCGCGATGTTTGTTCACAGAACAATTAACGAATTAAATGGAAGTGATTGGAAAGATGTGCAAAGATGGGACTCTTTCACTAACTTCATTGAGTTGGATTTCGTACCGAGATCTCTCCAGAAAATCATTGTTTTCGCAAGAGATTTGTTGGGAGAATACGATGGATCAATCATGAAAATTTTGAGTTCAATGAGAATTTCATCGGCTTTCTTCTCAATTTTGGTACAAAGTGAACTGATTTCTAAATGCAAATATACGCAAGAAGTCAAAGATTTCATACAAGAATGCTTTGAAGACGAAATGATGGAACAAGATTATGGATTATTCAGATTTTTGGGTCCATTATTCAGAGCGTTTCCCGATGCTCTTCCTGATTTCAAAGAAAAAGTCCATCATCTTTTGACAGCCAAATTGCAAACAATTATTTCAAGCCAAGTTAAAGTGCAAGGAACATATTTAGTTCTGTTAGTTCCTGTCTTGGATTCGAATTTGTTTGATATCAATGAGTTTATATCAACAATTTCTATAATCCACAAATTCATGGATCATCCAAACACATTCTTGAAATGCCAAGCACAGTTAGCTGCGCAGATATTTGCAAAGAAAGGCTCTGAAGAAGTAAAGAACCAGTTCAATGAAATTGTCCAAACAAAACTAAAAGAAGCTTATTTTTACGGACTTGAAAAAGCTCCAAACAAATTGACTTTGATTAATTGGAAAGATTTGAAAGATGTTTTGTTTAGTTATTACTTGATTGTTCCTGAAATATTCATCCAAACAATAACAAAACAATTGGAATACTATTCAACAACAATTTCCGAAAACAGCTCCCAAAGTTTGAGCGCAAGAGAAATGATTGCTGGATTGAAATCATTATGTGGTTTCATCGCAACAGGAAGTGTTGTTAACTTGTTATTGCAACAAAGCAAATTCCTTGAAATCGCTAGAATGTTTGTCAGTATTTTCAATGCAATGCCTTTGTTACCAAGACAAGATTTCGTTGAAATAATGATTGATTACTTCTCTTTTGCCCCTCAATTATTCCCTGAATTTTTCAAACAATCAATGTCCGAACCGAAATCTTTGCAATTTTTATGCATCATTTCTCAAAACGAGAAATCAAAACCATTGTTCCAATCAGTGGAAGAACCATTACTTCCTATCATCAAAGAATCACTTAAAGTCAAGGATAAGATGACAAATTTGCAGTCAATGTTATCATACATTGTTTGTTCATTGAACTCTGCAAAATATGATTCAGAACTCATTGAATTATTAGAAAAGATTTTCCATGAAATGTTGAATTGTTTTGACAACAATTTCGCATTGTTTAGTTCGGTAATTTTCCAGAAATTACTTGAGTTCTTTGGCTTAAACCATCCAAAGGTTTTATTACAACTCGCTTTCCATGTCTTAGAAATAAGAAATCCTTTGTTAGTTACTCAATACGCTCAAACTTATTCGAAATTGTTGGGTTCTGAAGTTTTGTCTCCTGAATTGTTCTATTCAATAGAATATTCAGATGATATGAGACTGAACTCACTCTTCTTCAACATCTTCTTGTTACCGTATGTTCAAGCTCACAATGAACAATTACCTGTAATCGTTAATTTCGCAAAAGAAAAATTCAATTTGTACGTTTATGTCACTTTTCTAAATACACTTTACGATAAAAACGTGACACTAAACAACATTGAATTCAACACATTTGAATTATATAACGAAGCAACAGATGATGCGACAAGATTACAAGTTTTGTTGTTATGGAGTTATTCGAACAAAACGACAGAGAATTTTGTTACGATGTTTTCTCATTTCATTGAATTTGTTCATAACTCATTACCATTGGAAATTCGCCAGATCTGTTCTATATTGAAGATTCCTTTAGACTTAAGTGATGATGATTTAAAGGTAATTCTTTATCAGATTGGCGAAATCATCAAAGATTATTCCAGGTATTCGAATGTTTTGTTATATATTTTCAAGTTGGTCATTTCCAATGTCAAAAACATGAAGAAACATCCATTGACATTATTCCATTTCCCACTGCAAGAACACGCTTTGTACATAGAGTTCGGACAGAAAAAGATAACAAATGGAAACCAATTCAACATATTCATTGAATTGACCAATTTGATTGACGGAGGAGCTCCTGAAGAAGAAACTAGTCTGGCAAACCATTTCGCATCATTTGCTTTGAAACAGATACAAATGAACAAAGACCAACCACAGTTCTTCTACAAGGCAGGAATGAACATTTTCCCTCCTCTGTTTAAACTCATAAAATCAGTGAATATTCCTAATTTCGTAAGTGAAATTTTGCAGTTTATCATTGATGTCCACAATAAAACACAGAATCCGCCACCTCCGCCTCCTCCACAACAGTTAGCAGCGCAAAATCCTCAATTGGCTGCTCAACAACAACAAATTAAAGCTCAGCAGCAACAACAGATACCGCAGAACAATCTGTGGGATGCCATACAGTTGCAGATAGTGAGACTGATGCCGGATATGATAGAACATATAAGCAAAACATCACATTTCCCTTATTTCGACAAAATTTTGGAAATGCTCGTACACATTACATGCAATGACTCTAATAATTGGTCATATTGCTTAACATCATTGCATTATATCATAGAATCAAAGATTTACGGTCAAAAGGCGTTGGAATTGATGTATTCCCACAAATCATTAGAAAAGTTGCAGACATTAGAACTTGAGAAGCTCCAAAATACCGAGAATGACTTGATTGCAAGGCTATTTCCGATATTATGGGTACATCCACCAACAATTGCGTTTAGAACGAACTTTTTGTTACCTTTCGCTGCTAAATTCTGCAGAGTATTCAATCAGGATGTTCCCATCATCATATTCCAGGCCAACTCCATCATGTTGTACGTATTAGAGCATCCATTTGATAATTCTCCAACTTATCTACTTGACATTGCTCTAGAAAATCTTTCCAAGCTCAACCAAATCGATGCCTGCTCCTACAATGCTCGGTTCATCATCCAAAGTTTCTCAATGGAGCATTTGACAGTAACGATGCAGTCCGTTTTGATGAATTTCCTTAGCGTTCCTAAAATTGCATCGGCCTTCTTCCAAATGTGTCCTCCAGCTCTGAAAGAAAAGATTTTGCCGAATATTCCTTTGGGAGTCAAATTCTTTTCAATGTTCAGAATATATCCGAAACTCGATGACAAAGTCATGGATCTCATTAATTCCCTCGAAATCCACGATTTACTGACAAGATGCGCCAATTCCGAATTATGGCAGATTCCTTTCTCTTATTTGTTCCAGAAGTTCCTTGGAGACATCAAGCTGAATGACATGCTCAAGATTACTCAGCACATTCCTCCTGAGCAACTCGCAAAACTTTGTAAAGGAATCGATTTTACAAAAATTGACAAAATTTTAGAGAAAAATTTGTCAATAAAATTCGAAGTTGGTCCAGGCGATCTCCAATCCACAATCAGTGAATCATCGTGGGAAGAAGCCATTACTAAATACGGCGGCGATTTCGAATACTCCAAAGAAGAAATCGCATTGAAACCATTGTTGAGATTCAGACAAGGCTACGAAGTCACTGAGAAAGAAATGGTCGGATTTGTTCCTAGAATTTCATACGAAATGGCCAAACGAATTCTCAAACCTCCTGAGCTATTAAGTGACAAAGCATTGGAGTTCATAAATGATCACAGAATTCTACAGAACTTCCAACGAGATATTTCGATTTTCAGTCAATCAAACAACGACAGATTAACTAAGAATTCATTGAAAGATTACTTAGTTGCCAATGAATTATCGAATATCCAGAACTACTTCAAATTCAGTGACAAGAACCAGAGATCTAACATGATCTTCTTCTCTTTGGTTCTCACACAAAATGACCCTCCAATTCTCCACAAAACATACGAACAAATTAGAAAAACAACTTTGGAGGCATTCAACAACATAATTGAAATGAATTTGCACTCTGAAGAAGTCCACAAAGTCACGTTCTCTGAGTCAATGAGATTGAACTCTGTTGACATTCCTTCTTACAGAACAGATGACTTGTTATCCGCAAAGCCAAATGATGTTGAAGCACTTTTATGTCAATTGTTAATTGTTTCAAAACAAATTGACGTAAATGATGCTTTCATCTCAATAATTAAAGGAGCTTTGAGAACAATTCCTACTTCAGACATTTTGTTCTCTTGCCTAGCTTTGATTGTTGATAAACTAGAGCTCTGCATCCCTGCAATCCTTGAATCTGCCGTTCAAATTCCTGTCAGATGGGCGTCGATTTTTTCAAAGTTAATTGGAGAAAATAAAAATTTGGCACCTTTGACAAAATTGCTTTCGAAATCAACAGGAATTTACACGTTGTTTAACAATTGCGAGTTCCCGATTGATCTCAAGAAGAAGCTGATTTCGTTCATCAATCCTGTGAAGCAGATCCTTGAAAGTCCAAGAGCGAAAATTATGAAGAAAGTTGTAGAACAAGAAAACAAAGTTTTGGAAATGATTTTTGAAGGAAAAAGTGACGAAAAATTGATAAAAGAAAGCGAAGAAATTCTTTTAGAGAGTGAAGAGAGCGAGAAACAATTCTACAACTCATTCTGTTTAGGAGAGTATTCATTGGATTCGATGCAATGTCCATTTGTTGATGATATAACAGGAAATGCTTTGCAATTAACAGGATACGTCAAAAACACAAATTCTAGAGCGATTTATTTGGATGTTTTGACGACAACAGGATCAAAGATTTCCTATGTTTTATATCCATCGAAATATGTTGATTACGGATTCACAACATTCATGACATGTCTTTCAACAATTCTTCAAAGATGTCCTGCAACTTTCATGAGGAATATCCAACTTCCAAACATAATGAGTGTTGAAATTGGAGATGGTTTCGTTCTTTCTAAGACTCCTGCTGAACCTTTAGTCCCTTCTTTCTGTTTGGAATCTCTTTTAGACTCCAAATCTCTTAATTCCCTCAAACAAATTAAAGAAGGAGTTCACGAGTACACAAACAAGAAGAGTTATTGCGACTATTTCATGACAATGGCTGGAAGATATGCAGCCTTTTGTGCTGTCCAGACTTTCTTCAATGGATATGTAAGTCCTCTTTCGATGTTTGTTGATTTACAGAGTCCTTTCGTTTGGGGAGAAAGACCAAACAACGAAAAAGAGTTCTTGTTGAGATTGAGAGGAAGAATGGTGAGTTTGTTGGATGAAGCTTTGGTTAAAGGAAGCTTCAGAAGTTCATTCATTGCTACTGCTGATGCAATTGTTTCGAATACAAGTAATGTTTTAGTTTTGATGAAATCAACAATGGAATTGGATGAAAATGTCACAAAGAAATTTGTTGAGGAAGCAAGAAATTACTCAACAAGAAGTGACAATACAGATGAAACACAACAGAAAATTAATAATTTAATTGCAGCTGCCATGGGCTGCGAAGATATTAGATTTACTCCGTGGTTATAAAAAATAGAATTTATCTTTTTTATTTAATATTTTCTTTAGTTTACAACTATTTAATTTTTTGCACTTAAATGTACTTTTTCTCTCATATAGAATTGATATTTTTATGAATAAACGTAAATATAGCATACATTGATCATACTATATCTTTTCACTGTTTCAAAATCTAAAAAAAAAGATCTATGGAAGAAGATTTATGTAAACTAAGCTAGTGATCCCGTAATTTATTTAAAATATCATCAACAAAAAATAGGGAAAAATATCTGTCATTTTTCTAGATTAAATTATATCTGAAATTACAAATCAGTACCCATAATATCATTTCAACAATTTAGAATCAATGGTTTGAATAGATATATAATTCACAATGATATTAAAAAATTATATTTTGTCTCAAGATATTGAGACAAGGAAATAGATTATGGCTTAAATAACATTCAAAATTATTCTTATGTTATATAGCTTTGATCTATTCTACAAATTATATATTGGGATCCCACAAAATAATAAATTTCAAAATTGATTTTGAAAAAAATGCATCTAATCGATTCTTACTTTGAAGAATTGCGCATTGATGTAATTTTATATAAACTCTACTAAGGATGTCAATTTGGAAGAAAAGTGAGAAAATTCCTAAAATGCTAAAAATGAATTTTCCAAACGTACTTTTTTATTTCATTTTTTTGATTTTGAAAAAAATTTGGAGAGAAGAACTCTTCGTTTTTGAATTTTATCACGATGGTTTTAAAGTATATTAGACACATGTATTGATATTACTATTTTTGTATATTTTGAGAGAAAATCCCTAAAAAGTGAGAAAATCTAAGACGGTTTGAGAAAATATATAAACTATTGAAAATTTGAATTAAACTTCTAATTTGGAAAAAAGAAATTTGGAAAGAAGAAAATTCAAAAATCGAGACTTAGACTCAGCATCAAATGGAGAACAAAATGTTTCTTCATATGAAGGGAAAAAATTTTCTTGTGAACAAATAGAGTTTTTAAAATTTTATTGTAGGTAATGAAATAAACAAATATTAAAATTATTTTTTGATAACAAGAAAATTCCCAACAGAAAATATTTGAGACAAAGAAAAAAAGAAAATTGAAAAATATTACTCTCCTTTATATTTCATGAGATTTTAAATTTATTCTCATAAAATTGACAATTTTATACGTTTAGATGAAAATAATTGATTTTGCTTGAAATAAAAATTATTGTTTGCTTACAGCTATCAAATAGATTTTTGCTATTTTGATTAAAATTTGTTAATCAAATTAATAAATTTTTTGTAAATATCTTAAATATCTGGATCACTCACTGATACAATGAATTGAACAATAAAAATAATACAAACTCAACTAAGTTTCCTGTCTTTCAACTAAAAAAAATTATGCAAATTAAATTAAATTGTTTATTCAAATATTAAACAAAGATGAAGTAATTACAGTTATCATAAACTTTATGAATAACTCTGTAATTGGTTCAGATTTTCGTAAAAATATTTTTATTAATATCGATAAGAATACGTTTACCAACTATCACAACATATCGATAAACAAGAGTAGAGTGATTTTTATCATCGAAACTTTTTAAAAGCTGTAAGCTGGAAGGAAAAATCTTGTTTTTTCTGAGTTAGTTGTAGAACTATTGATGCACGAGTTATCATTGTGATGTAGAAGGATGTCAATGTACTGACTGAAGGATATGAAGTGAATTGAATTTCATTGAATTTCAATTTGATCAAAATTTGTTGAAATGATATGAATGTGTCAACATCTGTATCACTCTCTTTCATTCCTCCCCTATTTTTTCGAGAACGAAGCTAGCTCAGCTTTCGCTGAGCGAATTGACACTTTTGATGCCCTAAACGTACATACTCTCAAATTTATCGAAAAAAATTATACCACCTAAACTAGTATATTCTTATTTTAAATATGATATTATCCTTAGAATCCACACTAGAATATATTTAAATCAACTTTTAAAAAAGTTCGAATCCTGCGCGTCTCACTTTTTAAATTTTCGAAAAGGAAAATTATATTCTCCTAAAATGAAAACAATTTTCCGAATTAAAAAAAAAAAAAAAAAGGTAGTGGGGCTTCCAGGCACTTCGTGCCCTCTAGCCCCGAAGATGTTTAGTATAAATGAAGTTTTTATTCGGAAAATTGTTAGTCTTCTGGTGTGAATTCGGAGGACTCTTCTTCTTCCTCCATTGCTTCTGGGAAGAGCCTTCTTCTGGTCGAAAACATTATATAATGTGTCGCTTTTCACAAATTATATATGTTTTCATGTTTTGTCACTTTTCTGTCACTTTTCGGGTAAAAACATTTTTATTATTATATATAAATGAATTTTACAAAACCACCGTTACCGTTCTTTGGAAATAAGAGTAAATGTAAAGATATTATATTGAGAGAACTTAAGAAACTACCGAATGTCTAACATTTGTAGATTTGTTCGGTGGAAGTTTCTATATATCCCATTTGTGCCATACAATATTCCCAGACTCAAAGATTATATGCAATGACTTCGACAACTATATGGACCGTCTCAAACATATACCAGACACAAACAATATATTGAAAGAGTTAAAAGAAAAGATACCTATAGGTAAGATGGAACGTATACCATTAGATACAAAAATATTGTGAGAGAGGTTTTGAAAAAAGCAGAATATATAGACTGGGATAGTATATCTGCTAGACTATTATATAGTGGTGCTATAAGAGTTCATGACATTGAAAACACTTATGTCAAAAGTTTTATATCTCAACTATACAAATGTTTTCAAAGAGGACATAGAAAAATATATTGAGGGTATAGAGTTTGTGAGATGTCATTGGACAGAGTTGTATGAAAAATATAAAGACAAGGAAAATGTTTTCTTTATAGTGGACCCGCCGTTCTATAACACATGGGATTTTCAATACCAAGTAGACTGGACTTTGAGAGACTCTTTAGAAACTTTAGACGTTTTACATAACCATCCATGCTTTTACTTTACATCCGATAAAAGTGGTTTGGAAACCGTTATGAGATGGTTAGGACATACATGACTATGAGTTTATATATGACAAGATAGAATATGAGAGAGGTCCTATAAACCGGCAGAAAGTGTCATAACAAAGAAATTTTATTAGTAAGTAAATGTGGTTTGAAATAGGACTACTTGTTTTAGGTTTTTTCCATTGTGTCATTTATTTATTTGACGTGGCAGAAAAGTACAGAGAATATGAAGATGAACCAATGCCTGCAAATGTTCAGTATATGTACTCGTAAGAGATATTTTTATCTAATATTAAATGGACGCACAAACTTAGCGAATGCACAGCAACCTGGACAACCAAACCCAGAGAATATTCCAAATGAAGTTAGAATACAAACTGCAATGGCAAACTATGGTCAAGTGCCAACAGATGTACAAATGCAAACTGCCATGTCAAATGACGCTGCGTTAGGTTTGCCACCATGGTATGCAAATATGAGATGGAAAGAGTTTTATACAAACCCTGAAGTGGGATATAAACAACTTTATGCAGATGACGCGAACACAGGAGTTGACCAGAATATGTTTTCTACCAGAGGAGAAACAGAATGTATGAGCTCCAGTTAAAGAATGCTATGGAACTCAACAGGAAACGCAAAAGACTAGGCGGACATTAGATTTTTACATATAGTAAAATGGGTTTTCTTCAGTAAGATAGGAAACTTCTTTCGAAATGTTGGAAGAGGTATATGGAATGGAATAAAAACCGTAGGAAGAGGAATTTGGAACGGTGTCAAAAATATTGGTAAAAGAGTAGGTCAGTTTGTTGGTATTATACCTAAAGACCCTGAACCAGAAGAACAAGCTCCTGTTATACAACAGCCTGAACCTGCACCACAGTCTAGTTGGCAACCAAATCCAACACCTCAACCGTATTAAAAAATTATATTTTTACCGTTCGATAGTAGTTGTATATGAAACTAAGTTCTAAGTAAAACGCATGGTATAATGGAATTATTCTTTTTCTTCCATCTGTAGTAAACCATACTTGAAAGTCTGAAATACTTCCACTTGGTGGTTCGTATAACTTTGTAGGTTTTTCGTAAAAGTCATTTGCCAAGCATAAGAAAAGTTTTGGGCGCCAGAAAATGAAGCATGAACAATAATAGCAGCTGGGTCGAAAACATCTTTAAATAAATATGGTTCATCTCTTGCATATCGACTGTAAATATTTGCTAAAGGAAGTTCGACTTTCTGATTTAACATTCTTTGCAAATAATACCATGACATTGCAGTGAATTCTGTATATATTTGTTCGTCTTTATTTGGATTGTTTTCGTAGATTTGAAATGACACTTGTGAATTTTGTTTGTCATATACAATTCTCACATAAAGTGTGCTCTCGGTATTTGCATATTCATCAGCATATTTTGCATAACATGAATTTATTTTATCTTCTATATTTTTTAACGCAGTCTGTAGAGAAGATGAAAGGTCAACTTGTATTAGCTCAATTTCTTCCCACATTTTTCGTTTCCCTTCAGAATATAATCTATATGAAACCTTACAATAAATGGAAAACTTTTATCTTCTACAGACACAAACTTCATTCTACGAAAGCCAATAGCTTTTGTGACAGATGGGTCTCTTAGCATCTTAATGGGTAGTCAAAACGATAGCCTTCATGCTTTACGGTCTCTGTCTCAAACTTTTGACCGACATTAGTAAAAAGTTCATCTAATGGTTTAGTTGTAGCAACTTCTTGAATTTTCTTTTTCTATTGGAAGCATATTTTATCTAGAATAAAAATGTCAAATGAAACAGCGTCTATGAGAGAAATACAACACAACCGACAACTCATTATGCAAGCTCTAAATAAGAACACAACAAACTTTTCAAAACTATTCTAAGATATCTGAGTCATTGAAAGAAGGAAACTTAAACTGACATTAAACCCAATGACAGATGAGTTTCTATTTCAAGACAATAAGAACCATACTGTCTGTATAAATC